TTCCCCAGCGCTGCAGAGTCAGCCGGGTTGGCTGGAGAGGCTGCTGGAGCGCCTGTGGGACCCGGCGAGCAGCGTGCGCAGGGCAGCCACCTTCGCAGTGGGCAATGCCGCCTGCCACGCGTCCTGCCCGGCGGAGACACTGGGCCGGGCCGTGCCCGCGCTGACCCGGCTGCTGAGCGACTCTCGGGCCCAGACGTGCCACAACGCGGCCCTGGCCCTGAGCAACCTGGGCCAGCGCGGGGAGGAGCTGCGGGATCTGCTGATCCAGAGCGGGGCCCTCGACCGCCTGCTGCAGGTGACCTGCCAGGACCCGCGCAAGGCCGTGCGGGAGGGAGCCCTCGAGGCGCTGCGAGCCCTCAGCCAGCACCCGGGGATCCAGCAGGTACGGCACAGGTACCCCGCTCCTTTGGGGGACCTGATGGAGCTGTAGGGACAAGGGTCAAGCCGGTGGGTGACTCCTGTCCCTCTCTTGGCTGTGCAGGTCCTGCTGTCCCTCAAAGCCACCGAGAGGCTGGCGGCGCTGGCCGCTGTCAGTCCCCATACGCCTTTTGCCCGGCACTGCGAGCCGCTCTTCCGCCGCCGGTGCGAGCAGCTTCTCCGCCGCCTCGCAGCTCCGTCCGGCCGCGCGGGGCCCAGCCCGCTGTCGCCGCGTACCGGCGCTGAGCGGTGATGCCCGGGCATCCCGGGACGCCACGGACGCTTCCTTCACCCTCCTCAGGCTCCAGCCGGACCTTCCTTGCAACCCGCGCTGTCCGTCTGAGGGGGCCTCTACCCGGCCGTCTTTACCCGGGGTGCCCCCCGCGGGAAGCCGGCCCTGACAAAATGCCCGTTCCTTCTGTAACCGCGCGTCTCCCGCCGGCTCCCGGAGCCGCGCCCGCGCCGCCGCCGTGCTCCGCCGCGCCGCCAGGGGGCGGTACAGCCCCAGCCGCGATGGCTGCCGGGAGCTGTAGTCACGTGGGCCCGCCGGCTCCCCATGGTAACGGCGGCGGCGGCGGCTCCGGCGGGCCCGGGCGGGAGGTGAGTATGGCGGCGTTGCCGGCCTGTGGAGCGGGGCTTTGCTCCCCCTGTGTCTCCCTGGGTTGCACCCTCAGAGTTCCCCCACTGGGGCCCTTGTCCCCCCGCGTTGCCTTCCCGGCCCCTCCGCCCCATAGCCGTGCCCGAGCCCCGAGGAGGCACCTCGCTCCCGCCCGGGCCTGCTCGCGGGGCTCGCCGTGGCCTTGCCCCGTGACACCGTGGGGCTGGGGGGCGGTTTGGGAACGCTCTGTGCCGAGACACGCTGGGGCTGGCGGCCTGGGCGGCGCTCCGGCGCCAGGATAGAGCATCCTGGTAGCAGCTTGGGCATCACAGTCTTTCACTTGGAGAAATGAGACACAGCGTGTTCCCCGGGCGAGCGGCAGCGAGGAAGGGCTGGCTCCCCAGCCACCCACCGCCCCAGGGAACCTCTCCAACGCTACTTGGAGTATTAGGATGGAGCTGGGATGGACCAGGCCCAGGTGGAGTGCTGGGACATCCTGGCTGTCCATCCTTTCGTAGGGGTCTTGGCTTAGCTGCTCTTGTGTTGTAAAAAGGACCGTTGAGTCTGAAAGATGAAAGTCTGCACAGAACTGAGTTGAGACAAGCCTGGAGTATTTCCTGAATGCCTCCAGGGTTTGGTCAGGGATCGAGGAATGAAGGTGTGGGGAAACCCTGTGGCATTGTGCCAGCATCCTGTGCATGGCTGTGGATGTCTCATGGGAGGCAGAGTTCAGCTCCACAGCAGCACATCAGAGCCCTGCCTACATGACCCCTGAGGCTTGCCTGTCTTTCTCATTGTGGTGCTCTCCTCACGGAATGGGCAGATGACATCTAGTGACTCCCGGATTGTTTGAGGGAATTTACAGTGGATTGTTTGCTTTATTATAGTTTTATAGAATAATATTTCCACAATTCTCACTGTTTGTACCACCCAGCAGATTGTAGCATTTCTCTGTCCTTTCATTGCTCTCTTGCTGCAGTTATGTTAGGTAAAGTTGGTTGATGACAATTGTCCCCTCCCACACCTCAGTCAGGGGGTCCTTCAGCCCAGCAGGGATTGCATTTCAGGGAGGAGCTGAGGGGACAAATGTCACCATCCCCAAAGAACAGTGCCTGCATGGAGGTGTCAAATCATTGACACAGGTTGGGGGCTTTGGCTGCTGCACAGCCTGGCTGGGTGCCACTCCTTGACATTTCCCAAGTTCCTGCCATGCATCGGGTCTGGGAGTATTTGGCAGTTTCTCACCTTGAGTCTCTGTTTCTTCTCCACTCCTGAGCCCTGAGAGATTGCTGTATGGAGTGAGGGTTTTGCAGTGGCTTCAGAAGAATTTTTCCTAGCCCTGTCCGGACATGGAAGAGTCCTCAGCATGTACTGAAGGACAAATCTGGGAACTTTTTCTTCCAATTGCAGCTATGTTTCAGTAAAAAGTATCAAGAACAGAAGGTGGGTTATGAAATAATGTGTCTTGAACTAATTGGGTAGTTCTTGTCTCCTTGCTGTATGTTGATATTTTATACTTGTTTCGCTCACTCAAAATCCTCCACTTTTATTTTTCTACTAAAGGCTAGTCTGCCTAAGATCAGATGGAGCTGTGCTGACTGCCCTCAGATCCTACGCTGGTGGCCAAACTCTTCCCAGGTCTTGCCACGTCATTCTCTTTTCTCCCATCATGGAGAAAATGAAAGTCAATTGAAAATGCTGTCCCTTCAGTTTGGATCTTCAGGAATGGGCTGTAGACCTCTATAGTGAAAGGCTGTTAAACACCTCATGGTTTAGCTTGTTACTTTTAACCCAGACTCGTTTCTCTGCTCTTGTTTGTGCTGCAGTACAACTGCTTCTGTTGCCCATGTGATGAAAAAGTACAAATTGGGTGGGAGCAAGGGCAGGCACTTACCAGCTTCACTGCTGGGGAAACAGAGGTGCATGATCTGCTGTCAGTGTGCACTGCATCTGCCTCAGGGCCTGGGGAGTCTGCCAGGGAGAAAAGTTGATATTCTTTGTCAGCAATAGGAGCTCCATGCTCTGCCCTTTGCTGTGGCCCCTGCACTGTCTGGTCACAGCCAGGTCAGCGATCCCGGGGTGAGCACTGAGCTGGCCCTTTATCTGAAGTGTCCTTGATGCCCTCAAGCTATAGCCCTGGATTTCCTGCCTGTTGTGCCAGAGTTTCCCACCTCATCTGGCAACTGTGCTTCAATGCCCTTACAGTGGTGGTGAAATCCCTTGTGAAGGCAAGCACAGGAGCCTTCATTCCCCAGCCCACTCTGTGTGTGCATGGAGGGAGGCCTTTGCTGCAGCACAGGGTGAGGTGCTGGCTGGATTGCAGCTCTCCCATGGCTTGCTCCAGCATCCTGCTGTCCCTGAGGTCTGCCTCCACCTTGGGAGCAGGAGCACACACCTGAGCTACTCTATTTCTCTTGCAGGGCAGTGCCCTTCTTAGGTAAAGGGTCTTTTCAGGCAGCCATACACTCATACTTCCTCTATTCAGTGTGGAGTGGAGTTCAGCACCAGAGCTGATGAATGGAAATGACCAACCCTGGCACAAATGTAATCCTGGCATGCTGGTGGAATTTGCTGATGCATCCTCACAGAGGTTGATTTCTCACTGTTTTTTTTTTTTTTTTTATTGTTTTGTTTTGGGTTTTTTTTTTTGTTTTTGACCTGAGTGGCCAAGTAAAAACTTGATGTCTTGATTGGGACAGAAATTGGTTGTCATCCTCTGGATTTGCACACAAAATGTGGTTCTGCAAGGATTGCAATGAAGCTGAGAGGGAACAGTGATGCTTAACTGTGTGGCAAAGCAGCACACCAGGCTGATGTATCCAAGAGCATTTCTGCAGTGGCCAAGCTGCCTCTGAGCTGTGTTGTTCTCTTGGACAAATTGTGGCCAGCAACACCCTCTGCTCTTCAGCTTGAACTTGCTGGTGGCCTCAGGTGCTTTTGCTTGAGGCCACTAGATTCTTGGAGATGACATTGGGGAGGGAGGGCTGTTTCCATGCTGTTGAAACACAAATTTGTACCTAGCTACGAGCTGTTGGAGCACTTTTAGACACTTGGTTTGTTTCAGATCAATGTTGTTGATCTTGTTCAAAGTTTTAAATTTTTTGAAGGGATACAAACCCTTATTTGTAAATGTATTTTTGTTTTAAAACCTGTTTATTTTGCATTGTTGTTAACTTGCTTATTCAAGCTTTAATCAAAAGCCCTGGAGCTGCAAGTGAGGAACTTGGTGTAAACTCAGGTCTTGTTTAGAAAAATGTGTTATCCTTTTTAATAATAAAGATCAGAACACAATATGCACCCTGCAATGGCATAGAAAACAATAGCAGTTGCAGTTGCCTAATCTCTCTTCCTTGTGATTTCAGGCTGTGTGTGGCTGACAACACGTTATCAGGTCAGCTTGCAGTGCATACATTTACAAGCTCTTGTTATTTTAAGTGTATCACCAAGCTGCACTTAAAATAACCTCCACAGCCACACTCTTCTAACAGTGGGATGATGTGCACACCCGGGCTCTTGAGGTCTTGTCCTTTCCTGTTTGGAAGAGGGCTGTGAGGAGCTGCCACGCTGCCATTAGAGGAGTACATGCTGCAGTGGGGCTCAGGCTGGAAGAAAGGGTTTGACTGCTGCATACAGGGGTGTGCAGAGGCTGGGCACATGTTGGCCCTGTGCTCTAGGGATGTCACTTTTGTACAGGCTGTGGCAGTGCTCCAGCTGACCTCCCAACACTTGCAAGCAAGCTGTGTGGCAATAAAAGGTGCTGGCAGAGTAATTGTAAGCAAGTGCAGCTGTACAGTCACTCCAACAGTGACAGCTTTGGCCTCTGTATTGTGTGTCAATAAGTCCAAGCCAAAATCCAATAATTACTTGGTTGGGTTTGAATTCCAGCCTGGCCAGTTCACCCAGGGCTTTTCCTAGCTCATGTTTCTACAATAAAATTTTAAGAGTGTTATTTTATCGCCATTGTGAGATGCAGAACAGAGTCCAGCTCCTTTCTCGTAGAGTTGGGTTAGCAGAGCTAGGGATTGCATCAAGCTGTGACCTTTGTCCATCCCAAAACTCCAGCTGAATTAAACATAAAGGGAAAACTTCTCTGCTGGTGACCAGCAGGGATTTACCTGGGGGCAGGTGATGTGTTTCCTACCCAGAGCTACAGAGATGTGGCAGCTGCTGTCCTGTTGTGACCACAGCCTGGCACGTGAAGGTGCCCCCCTCCGTCTCCATCAGTTCTCCTGGATGCTCAGCAGCTGCTTTGTCAAGCTGTCCTTGCTGTAAGGATGGGAGACAGTTTTCAGGTGGGCATTAGAGTTGGCTGTCCTGGCATGCAGGAGGTGTGAATGGGGGGAAGGACAGGCAGCATGGACTGCTGCTATCAGTCTGGATGCATCCTGTGAGGGCGTCTTCCTTTCATCCTTCCTGCCCCTCCTGCCCCTATCTCTGAGCTCCTGTGTCTCCACAGGGAAACAGTGATGGTGACTAGCTGTTGGCCAGCCTAGGCCTTACCTGAAAGCTCTGCTAAAGCCCCTGCAGCTTTCTTATGCAGCTGCTGCTTCCTGCACACCCCTCCCCTGTGCTGGCCCAGACACTTCTGCAACTCCGTGACAAAACCGCTCAGGAGGGGCCAAGCTCAGCACATCTCTGTCTGCTGCTGTGGGCTGGGTTCCAGGCAGTGTTAGCTAAGGCTGTGCCATGCCCAGACCTCCACCCTGGCAGCCACAGCTGTCAGCAGCACCCCCGTGTCTGTGTCAGTCACATCTGTGCCACCGTTGTCACTTACTCCAGATCAGGGTCACACAGGACTTGTGCTGGCATTTTCACACCTGTGTATAAGCTGACTGTGAGATTCACAGCCCTTGTTACAGCTTCATTAGGCCACATCACTTTTATTTTTACAGCAGGATGATTCACTGATAGCTGTAAAGCCGGGTGGAGATGAGCTACAGATGGCTTTCACTTCAGGCTGGTTTTACAAGGTCATTCACAGCCGGGTGAGAGTGCAGGCGATGGCCAGACTGGCAGTGCAGGTGGTGATGCCAGTGACAGATCCTCTAGGCAGGAACACTTTCATTCTCCTTGGATTTTAATTTGCTCTTTAACACCTATGTTCACTGGTGTGCTAGGGTCACTTTGTGGTCCGGGTGTGCTTGTGAGCTGGAGGGGGCAGCGTGTGCAAGCCAAGCTGTGCTCCCTTGTTTACTGATGGAAATTTGAGCTGGGCAGGGGACGGCATCTGAGCCACAGCTTCTTCCCTCTGTGCTAATCGCTGTGAATGTCACAACACAGCCAGGTTTGCTGCTGGGGGCAGATTGGGTAGCAGTGGAATAGTGTTGTACATCTCAGTTGTGGGATTCTCTTCCCTGGGGTTTGGAGGCCCTCTGGGCTGCAGCTCCCACTGGGATGCAGGTGCCCTGTCCTCATCAGGAGTCCTCAGCTTGACTGTACAAGCACTAACAAGCAATGCAGCCCTATGGATGTGGTATGGACTCGGCACTTGCCATATTTCCTTGCAGAGCTTGGCAGGATAGCAGCTCTCCTTGAGGATGTATACCTCCTATGGGATCCTGCATGGGATGTTCCATTTCCCACATCCTCTGGCTGAGATGCTGCTGACCTGGTATGTGCTGGAGACTGGAGCTGATTCACAGGCTGAGAGGGTCTGGCAGGTGTAGGTCCGTCTGACCCAGCTCTGTGGTGGTGCGAGCTGCTGTGATGGTGCTACAGAGCAACCTCAGGGTCTCCAAGCTACACTTTAACTGCTGCATCTGAGGCTTGTCTTTCAGGTGAGAAAGGAGTGTGTATGTGTATGGCAAGAAAAAGAAGAGTGTGATGTCTGATGCCCTGCTTATCCTTCTTTTTATACCTCTGGTTTTTTTTTTTTTCTTTAATATGCAAGCGTGTGAGAGCTGGTGGAAGGTGGAAGAACCAGCCAGCCTGCTTGGAATACAAATTCCTATCGCAGCTGTATCCAGGGTCCCTCCAGGCATGTGTTAAAGCAATAACTGGCTAGTGGTTTGTTTTCTCTTTTCCCTTCTCCTCAGGCAAGAGGATGTTGCAGGTATGGTGCAATAGTTCATTCTAGAAAGATTCAGGGCACCTATATCTGCAGCACTGTGGTCTGCCAGTTTGGTCCTTGCAGGAGACTTTTCTGAAGGACTGCAGTGAGGAGAGATGTACGTGCACAGTACTTCCAGTCTGTGCTGGAAGCAAAGGTGTTGATGTTAGAACAGCCTGCATTTGGTTCGTGCTGCCTTCTCAGTCCTGAGCTCTATAGGAAGCCTTTAGCCCTCACTAAGCTTTTCTACAAGAGTGAGAAACATGTTCCTTTCAAAAGCAAGGGCTGAGGTTCTCATCTAGTTGTGTAATGTACTGAGCTGAAGTTTTAAGGAGCAGGGAGAAAAAGTAAGCAGATGTTTTGGCATTTGTGGCAGAGTCAGGAGGCTGATGTTGGAGACACAGATCTGTAGGAGTGGGCTCCAGCTGCCATATGGGTCCCAGGCAGGCAGCCTCTTGTTGCAGACAGGGTGACTGCTGGAGCTGCTACTCCATGGCCCTGGCTGGTAGTCAGACACCCTTGTGTGTTTGCAGGGTACAAGCTTTCCTGCAGATGGCTCTCTTTACATTGTTCTTTGCATCCTCTGGTTTCATGTGAGATGCCAGCCATTCTTTGACTTGGTCTCCAGAGACTCTTGGTGAGCTCAGTAAATGGGAGATGTGATTTTCATCCTGCAGGGAAAGCAACCCACCCTGCTTTCCTCATGCGGCATTAGGCTGGGTGCTGTCCTCTGACAGGACAACAGAGTCTTTCATGCTATCCTTTTGTTTCAGGCCAGCAAAGATGCTGCAGTAGATGACTGACCGTGCCTCAAGTGCTATGGCTCTACATGGCGTCGGCAGGACCAGACCATGCTAATGGGGGCCCCAAACAGCAGAAGCGCATCGGGCTGCAGTCAGGCAGCCTCCTGGCAGAGCGACCTCAGCCGTGCTGGCCCTGGCGCCTCACTCAGCAGCAGGCCAAACCCCTCTGGAATTTAGAGAAGAGATATGCGAGTGCTTTCCAGGATCGCATCCTGCTGCCCTCAGGGATCCCTCTGCAGCAATCCTGCTTCTTGTGCTCACCATCACTATGCCACGCACAGCCCACTGAAGACAGCCTCCAAAGCCCTCGACACACTGGCTCTGCCACGGGAAGGGTGATATCTGCCACAGGAAGGGTGATGCCTTCCCTGCTGATGGACCCCTGCCTGCTGGCAGAGGAGCACTCTGGAACTGGGGTCAAAGGCTCTCCCCTCAGCTCAGGTCAGCAGGCTGCCAGCTCCTGTAGACCAGTGCTCAATAACAACTCCTTCCTACGGCCAAGCAGTGCTCAAGTGCCTTTTCTGCAGTCACTGAAGATGAAAAAGGTGGAAAACACCCGGAGTTTTCCTGCTACTTCATGGTCCCTCTTTGGGGACAATAGAGACAGCTTCGGTAGCAGCCTGATTAACAGGGCTGTGACGAACAGCAACGTTGTGTCACAGCAAAACAAAATCCCCTCCCATGCCCCTGTGCCAAGCTGTGCGGTCCTCAGGAAGGATCAGTGCTCATTGGAGGATGCTAAGGGGAGACCTTACAGCTCAAAAGAGAAGGAACCGGAGAAGAGCCTCTTGAAGGCTGTGCAGCAGCTACCTAGTCAGGCTGCCACACACAGAGGCTTTGGGTGCCAAGCTGAAAGTTCTGGCCTTATGAGTGTGGGCAGCCTGTCCAACCAGAGCAGCAGATGGAGGCAGCATGCCGGAGTGCAGATCACCCAGAAAGAGCCCACTGCTCCCCTGAACTCGGAGCTGGAGAGCCACTGCCTTAACAGTAACTCGAGCCTTAGGGGCACCTGTGACACCATTGCCCGCAGTGAGCGGATCAGTGTCCGTCCCTTGGCCTCCTGTGCCAGCGCTCCTGTCTGCAGGACTGGCTGCCATCCCGTGGGTGTGCTCAGCACTCTGTGTGCCGGGGACCACCTGGCAAGAGCAGAGCCTCTGCACTTTGCTGCTGTCTCTGAAGTGGCAGCACAGGTGTCCACCATCCAACTGGAGGAAGAAGAGAAACAGGCCCAGGCTGTGGTCTCAGGAAAGCTTAAGTAAGTAGAGGCAGGAGGAGGAGGGAGGCTGCAGCAGGATGTGCCAGGCTGGCCGTTGTGTCTGTGTGTGTTGGGAGAGGATGCACTGTGGGCAGTATGAAGTGGCCATAAGGATAACCATGGGCTGTGTCCATGAGAAAAACCAACTGCAGCATCCTAGTGGGTGGAGCACCTTCCTGCACCCCCAGCTTGACACAGGCACTTGGGATAGCTCCAAGCTGTTCCATTTTCTCCTTCAACAATAGCATGGAATTACTGTGTGGCATTTCTAGTTTCTTCTACTTGGGGGGTCCTGCCTTCAGTGGAAAACGCTGCACATATGTTGAATCCAGCCTGCTGTTGAACCAGGCCTTCCTAGTCAGAGACGTGTGTTCATAAAAGAGCACAGGGCTAATACAGGATAGAGAAGGTGTGAGGACATGGAGTTCCTGCTCTCCTGGTGGGAGAGGGTGTTCTTTTTCCTCTTTTTTCTAGCTGCTCTGGAACGTGTTCATTCTCAGCATGGTCTGGGGCCTCTCCATCTTGCTAGCTTGGGATGCGTGCTTGTACATCAGCACTGGAAAGGGCAGTGCCCTCATTCGTCTGCCCACATTATCTCATGCTGCCTCAATGGGTTTCTGGGTTTTTGGCTACAGAAAGCATGTGCCATTCCTTTTGATGTGATGTTCTTTGTCCTAGTGCTGCTGCTGAGAAGTCACTGCTGGAGCCGAGCCATCCCCAGGACGAAGCAGAGGAAGAACTTCCTGATGGTCTGGACGAGAACTACAGTCAAGAAGAGTATGAGGACAGTGAGTGCTGCTACCCCAGGGAGGGCTGTGCTCCATACCTCAATGCGGGGAGTGCAAGAGCTGTCTGGGAGCTGGGAGTCAGCATAGCTGCCCTCCTGTCTTACATTCATGCTGTCATTTCAGGATGTACTGAACCCAAAAGTGATGTAACAGCAAGGAGGAACTGCTCCTTCTGGGAGCAAGCTAGGGCTCACCACTGTCCTTCTCCAGAACTTACTCATCTCCTCTCTGTGCAGGGCTGTCAGCTCTGCTCCCTTCCCTGTTTTTATGACCCCAATTGGTGGGCAAAAGCCAGGATCCAAGGATTAGGGGTAGCTGGAAGGTTCTGTCCCCTGCAGCATTTGTTTCCTCTCTTCCCTCTCTAACTCTGTGTGCATTCACTCCTCATGGAGACAAAACCTGAGTTTGTTTCCTCCTGCAGGTGACTCGGATTCTTCCTCCGATGCCGATGTGTTGTCCAGCTTCTCCACCACTCCTGCATCCAGGTTAGTAGCTGTGAACAGTGCACTTAACTTGGTGTATTTTTCCCAGACTTGTCCCAGGACCTGAGGGAATGGCCTGAAGTTGTGTCAGGGGAGACTTAGGTTGGATATTAGAAAAAGTTTCTTCACCCAGAGTGTGGCTGGGCACTGAACAGGCTCCCTAGGAAGAGGCCACAGCACCAAGCCTGACAGAGTTCAGGAAGTGTTTGGACAATGCTCTTGGGCACAGGGTGTGACTCTTGGGAATGGTGCTGAGAAGGGCAGGGAGTTGGACTCGATGATCCTTGTGGATCCCTTCAAAATCAGCATATTCTGTGATTCTGTCATCTTTGCCCTCCATAGGGACAGAGGAGATGGTAGCATGTGGGGTAAAGGAGTGAAGATAGGAACAGATGTCCCAGCCAAAGCAGGTTTCTTTTCTACCCTGCAGACTAGAACTACCTCTCTTTCTACAAGCAGCAGCCTGTAAAGTGCTAAGGATGCATCCACTGCAGCAAAACAGGGGTCTTAATTTCACTGGCACTGACAGTTGCTGAGTTAGGTTTACTGGATTAAATTGTGCTCTTGCAGTGTCGTTGCCCAGCAGATGAAGCAGAGTGGAGGTGTCCTGGGCCAGAGACTGCAAAAGCTCCTTGGAGATTTGTGTCTCAGCATAGCATCCTAGAAGCAAGTCCTGGAGCCTGGGTTTTTCTTTAACTTTTGGGAGAATCTCTTTCTGGGGAGCACTGGTCAGCCTGTGGTCATCTGAGCCCTGCCTTCATGACTCTTGGCTGACCTTTGTTGGACCTGTTTTTGCCCATCCAGCAGTGGGAGCTCATCTTGCACCAGGGCTGCCTCAGGCTTTGCTGTCTGCCTGACAGCTTGCTGCTTCCCATCATGTCATCACTAATCTGGGAGACAAGCAAGGCTTTCTGTGAGCAAGTGTTGAGCCTTAGGGTGCTGCAGGGCTTTGGGTGTGCCCATGTGGTTGTGAAAGTCCTGGGGAGGTGATGTAAACTGGCCCAGCAGCTGTTTCTGGCAGGATGTGTCTGGTTGGCCTCTGGGGCAGATGGGGAGAAGCAGTGCTTGGGCTAAATGCCTCTTGCAGCAAGGAGGGAGGGGTGTTCACCACTTCTTTGTGCAGGGTGTGTGCTGGCCTAGCCTTGAAACCTTTGCAGCTGTCTCCTGCCTTCACTTTGTGTGGGCAGAACCAGTGTGGGCAAAACCAGCTTTGTGCCAGAGAATGTTAAGCAATATGATCCTTTTCCAATTAATAAACTTTTAATTATTGATTTCAGTACTGAAAAAAAACAAACAAACCAAGGACTTTGATAAAACACCTTTTCTTCCCTCAGCCTGGTCTCCAATTCTTTTGTGACAAGCTACACTCAGTCCCTTCAGTGAGGCAAGGGGTGGCCTAAGAGATTGGTTGATAGTGTGTTGTAGTTCCTTTTCTTTTGCTGCTCTTTGTTCTTTATTGGATTGCTCTGGTGTGGCTTCTTCCAATGGCTGCAGTGGCATATATTTGAATATACATTCATTGCAAACCCTACTTTTCACTTCATCACGATATTAATAGAAACATTACAAATTCTATCCCTCCTTCCAGGTATTGGGGCTTGCTGTGGGAAGGTGTACATATAGTGGGTAAAACTCCATCCCTCTTCCCTGCAATGCAGCAAAACCATGAGGGTTAAATAGTATGTCTTACAATCTCCACCCCTTGTTCCCTTGGACTAGGTTATAGGGTTTGTCATGTAAAAGACTCCACTCCTTGCCCCAGAAAATCAAAAACTCCACAGTGGGTACTTGGCATGTGCATTCATTGCAGAATCATCCCCTCATTCCTGCAGACTGAGTTACTGACCTTGGTGCCCGCTGCTTGCACCACATTGCAATGATGGTGCAAATTCCTGATACCCAGATTAAGGCTCCTTCTGGCTTCCCTCTTCCTTTGTTACTTTTCACTTTTAGCCAGCTGACTACTGCCTCATCTTTCTTAGGAAACGCATTGACTGCCTGGCCCAGCCTTCTGGGGCTCAAGACAAAGTGCTCAAACCAGCTCTTGTCTGCAGTTTATTCCCTAATGTGCCTCCAACTATCTACTTCAGTACTCGGGATGAGGCAGGTGAGCCGGAGTCTGTTGTTGCACAAGGTGAGAGTGGCCAGACCATTATTAGGGAGCAGGTGGTGCCAGCACACAGCCTGGAGCTGGCTGGCAGTGGCTGCCCTTAACCCTTCCCTTGATGACACCTAACACTGCTGTGAGATCCAAATGACTGCAGTAAACTGTTATTTCCAATGTCTGGAGCATGACTTAGGCTGCCACTAAATGTTCCAGTGTCCTGGATCTCCCCCAGCTGTGGAGTCTTCTGCTCCATGACAGTTCTGCAAAGAGGGCTATGCACCCTCATCTACAGGCCTGGTGCCTGTGCAGCAAACCATAGAATTTTGCAGCTGTAGTAAATCCAAGTATTGTGTTTGTTTTTCTTCAGTCTTTAACTTTTTGCTTTCCTAGTGGAAAAGCTGCCTTGGGAGCAGAGGAAGCTGCTGCGATGGAAACTGTGCAGTGTCACACCTAACATAGTGAAGCAAACCATTGGCAGGTCCCACTTCAGAGTTAGCAAAAGTAAGTTGGGAGGCAGCATTGTGTCCTTCCTTGCCTCCAGCGCCTGGACACTAGAAGGCAGAATGCCTGCAAAGAACAGAGTAGAAGCAATACAGGCTTGGCACTGTAGGATGCTGGGTTCGTGTTTTTGCCTGTCTGACCTGCAGTATCCAACATCTGTGGGTCCCAGCAGGGCCTGATCTGCCTCTTGGCTTGTTCCTGGCATAGTCCGCAAGGGCTTGCTCCTGAACTGAGGCAGGTTTGCTCTGGCTTGCCACTCTGAGTGGGCTGGCCCTCATGTAGTGCCAGGCCCAGCACTGCTGCTCCTTGTCCCCATGTACTGAAGAGGAAGACATCTCTGACCATAGCCAGAGTTCTCAGGGTTGGGAATCTTGTCACTTCCCAAGGACAATGTAGGAGAAGCATTGAGCATTTGCAGCTATGATCCATACTCTGGAATGTGATCTCCTGGAAGTTTATTGGAATTCTGCATGTATCAGGAGACCTCTGCGCAGACTATTTTGAGGCTATAATGAGACATGGATGGCAGAGGAAGTCCTAAGTAGTTATGGCACACCTACCTGTCCCTCAGCAGCACAGCATTCATTAGCCAAATGCTTCATTTGCCAGCTGTAATGCAGAGAAGTCAGGATGCTGGGGAATTAAAGGCATTCCTTTGACCCTGTACCTCTTCAGGTTCTTGCAACCAGTCATATTTGCAGCAATATGACCCACTTGGTTAACTGGATGGCACTCAGCCCTTGCTTTGGCAGCTTTGCAGTAGCAAATGTGAGTGCTTTGTGCTATAGCTGTACAGCATCCCTGGCACACTTCTGCTAGCCTAAGGAGATGGGGTGCTGTGGGTTGAGCAGGAGTTATGGGTGGCAGGGTACTCAGTCATGGACTTTCCTGTTTTTCCTGCAGCAAGCACTGACTGGCTGGGTTGCTGGGGCAACCACATGAAATCCCCTGGTTTCAAAGCCATCAGGGAGCACCAAAAGGTAGGGGCTGTTTTTTGCTGACCTCTTTCATGTGCATGGAGAGTGTGTTGCAAGCAATTTGGGTCCCCCTCTGCTCAGGGCCAAGTGTTTATTGTGCCAGCTGTCCCTGTAGTGTCCCTTCCAGAATTGGGAGAGGAGTCCAAGAGACAGGCATAGCTGGATGGGCATCTCTGCTGTGAGGGTGGCTCTTGTATGGACTGAGGCTGTAGCCAAATTGTATTTATTTGTGAGCTTCTCTAAATTCAGTCATTGCTACTTAAAGCAATGCAGTCCTCCTTCTGGCAGAACTGAGGGGTAGGGACAATGCCCTCACTGCCAGTGCAGTGAAGGGCATGTACCTTACTCTGATCACAGAACAGTCAGGTGTAGCTCATGGCATGAGAACCTGCAAGGGACCAAAGGTTTGGTGTCTGTCACAAGTACGTGCCTGTTCTGAAGAGCTGTGATGCTCTAAATGAGGCGGTTTGTCCCTGCAAAGCTTCAGGAACAGGTGGGATCAGTTTGGGTGCAATCTTGGGAGGGGAGCAAAGACTGTTACTCTGCACTGTATTCAGAGAGGACGTATCCTCTGCCAGGGGAGCAGAAAGGGGTGGGCAAGGAGTAGGGGAAGCAGAGAGATCTCATAGCATCTGTGTTCCTTTCCAGCTAAACCACTTCCCCGGTTCATTTCAAATTGGAAGGAAGGACCGTCTGTGGCGCAACCTGTTAAAGATGCAGGCTCGCTGTGGGAAAAAGGAGTTTAATTTTTTCCCTCAATCCTTCATCCTGCCCCAGGACATCAAATCACTCAGGAAAGCATGGGAGGAAGGAGGTAGCCGACAGAAATGGATCGTGAAACCAGTAGGTGTAAAACAGAACTCAATCCTCTGTCTTTTTGTAGGTGCAGGGAGATCTGATCCTTTCTTGTTTGTGCTTTGCAGCCAGCATCAGCAAGAGGCAATGGTATCCAGGTCATCCACAAATGGAGCCAGCTCCCCAAAAGGAGACCACTGCTAGTACAGAGGTGAGTGAACATAAAACCAAGGCTGACACACAGCCTGAGACCTTTTAATGTCTTGTATGTCTGGCCAATTCTGGGCCCCTACTAGTATGTGGCAAAGCAGAAGTACCTGATTTGCATCTGGAGATTTCTCTGGAGACTGCCTGGTTGTCCTGCTGCTGGAAGTTTGGCTCCATCAGCTGCAACTGGGCTTACTGCAGTGCTGCAGTCTCTGTAGATATTTGAGGTCTCAGACACAACTTGGTTTCATGAGCTTTCTGGAGCTTCTGTCTGGCAGGTGGACAGCTTCAGCTCTGCTGTGATCAGGCTGCCACTGCTCTGTACTCTGGGGTTTGGCACGTTTGGAGACAAACAAATCTTACCCAGTTCACACAAGCACAGTGGGAAGCGAAGTCCCAGGGAAGAGGTGGCAGTTGTCAAAGATTTGTTCTTAACCAAGTTAGAATGGTTCAGTAAGAGCCTCAGTGCATGTAGATGCAAAGGATTTTCTTGAAATAACAGCATTCTCAATCTCCTTCCCCTTCTGCAGAAAAGTGGAATAGTACATCTTGATTTGAATCTGGGAAGATTCTTGTGAGAGCAGGAAAACTGCAGTGTTTGGCAGACAGGGAACTGTTGTGTTTGCTTGTTAGTTCTCCCTGTCCACTTTCTCTGCAGAGAGACAAACTTTCCTATGGAAAATCATGAACCTCTGGGATGAATAATCAAATGAGTTGGATTAAAATACCCAACTGTTTCTACCTACTGTACAAAACCATCTGTGGTGTACTGCATGTCTTAAATGTTCCTGAAAATTGTGATCAGCGTTGTGGGTGTGGAAAAGCTACTGTGCCTTAAAACTGAGGAAAATCTCTTCAAAATGGAAGTGTGCAGAAGGAAACAGTTCTTATGTGCTGCAGAAGCTCCTTGTGAATGGGAGAGCTGCTCTTTCTCTCATTTTGTCTGTGATGTGATTAACTTGGAAATGCTGTGCAAAAAGGTTTCTGCATTGATCACTTGTTTTGCCAGGGCTTCTGATTTGGGGGTTAGAGATGTTCCTGCATATGAAAATCCTAACCCTTATGTGCTTCCTTCCCTCTGCAGATACCTGCAAAAGCCCTACCTCATTGGCGGGAAGAAGTTTGACCTGAGGCTCTATGTTTACGTCACTTGCTATGATCCCCTCAGGGTCTACCTGTTCAAGGAGGGATTGGTTCGCTTTGCCAGCTGCAGGTAGGCTGTGCAGGAGAGCAGTGCTGGAGGCTGCCTTGGTGCCCACGCACCTGTGGCTGTGGTGCCTGCCTTGGCTGGGGCAAGAGGGAGTCAAGCCCTATAATGCTTAAAGCTGTACCTTCCTTGCTTAAGAGGCAGTGTGGAAACACATGAGGTCGCTGCAGGTGACTGTTGAAAGGGAATGTGAGAGGATGCTGCCTACATCCAGCCTTTCCAATGAAAGATCAGCTCAGTCTAAAGCAGTTCTTGGAATACATTGTCTGTGCTTCATTCTGCATAAAAGCTGGCATACCAGAAACTGAGACATTTCTTCCAGTTTTCATTGTATTGCCTCAGGCTGTTGCAGTTCCATCAGTGCTTCTGCTCACTGATACTCTGGCTCTTATTCCTTGATGATCTGCTGTGTGGGTGGGATTGCATGCCACTGTCCCAAGGCAGCCTGTTCTGTCTCATGTTTTGTTCCATTAGCTCTGGGCCTGTGGGGACAGAGAGCTGCAGGCAGTGGGGCTGGTGGATGGCTGAGAGTGTTCTGAGATGAGAACAAAGTCTATGCCTGCCTCATGGACTGGGGACAGCCACTTCAGTCTTGGAGAGCTTGTGTTCCTCTTGCCTTCTCCAGGTACTCCTCCTCAGTGGAGAGCCTCGGCAACAAGTTCATTCACTTGACCAACTACAGTGTGAACAAGAAGAACGCAGCGTACAAACCCAACTCGGATGAGACTGCTTGTCAGGGACACAAATGGTAGGTGCTGCTTTTAGGGTACAAGGCAGCTCTTTCTATTTCCCATTAAGTCAGGCTTTTTTCAGTATTCTTACCCAAAACTTGAACTTGCTTTCTGTATCATCTGCTCCCACTTGGGAAAGTGGAAGAAGAGAGTGATTTTAGCATGAGTTAGTGTCAATGGAATCTGGATAGTCTCCCTGGCTTGTGACTCATCCTGTCCAGTACTGCTTGAGCTGTAAGTGCTGTTCATCCTGCCTGTGTTTGTGCCATTCCCTGCTTCCAACACTGCACTCATCTCTGCTCATTCATCCCCTTCCCCTATTGTGGGGGTGATGGGATGTCGTTAAAGCAGAATCTGATTGGTTTTTGTTAGATATTGAATGGGTGATGCTTAAATTGGCTTGATGGGAGCTTCTGCCCTTCTCATTCTTGACTTTGCTGTGGAGGCAGAGAAGGGGACAACTCTGGTTCAGAACTGTTAATTTAGTGCTACTCTGGGAATGGGAGCAGTGGTGCTGTTTCTAGGCATTTGGGAGGAGGGCTGCAATTTTGCAGGAGTTCCCATTGCTTGCTGTCCCATGGGTGAATGGATACAAGCCCCAGGAACTTGTTTCTGATTCCATGGTGGTGTTTGAACCCTTTTAAAAATAGTGCGGGATTGAGTTCTCAATTCTCAGCCTGGGCAGTGCTACTGCACTCAAAGGGAGTTGCAGAAGATGTTTGGCTGTGGCCAGATCACTTAGACCTGGACCTACTTCACAGTGGTCTCTTCCTGTGCTGGGACTTTTAGCAGGGTCTGCTGCCCCTCAGCAGTTGCAGTTGTGTGGAGGTGGGATTGTGTGGGTTTCCCATACTTGCATGCAAGCCAACGCTGGCTGCTCCTATGTTAAAGATAAGTGTGGCTGTAATCCACTCCATCTTGTATGCAGGAAGCGTGACCTTTGGATTCCTGGCCATTAGCCACATGGTCTCACTTGAGAAATATCTCAGCATCCTTGGCTCAGTGTCAGAGTAGCTTGCAGCACTCAGTGTGGTATGGGAAACTCCTGTAAAAGCATAGATGCTCCCCCATACCATCTTGTTACCACATTTTTCAGAAATTCTTTTCATCCCTGAAGCCTCAGTGAAGTGGCTTTAGCTAAAACATTTTTGGGGTCTTGTTGGATTCCTGCTGAGCTGCTTTGCAGTGCTGCGGGGGAAGGCCTGCAGGAAGGGGAGGTTTGCTGAGGACAGGGAGGGGGAGGGAAAAGAAGATCTGGGCCTGACTTACCTTGCTCATGTGCTAATTTGGGACTGTGCTGAGAGAAGTCTATGACAGATTCATGTTCCTAGTAGCTTGGGCCTTCAAAACCAGGGGCCAGGCTGGGGAGAGCAGTAACTAGGAACTGAGAGGTTTGAGGATGTCAGGAGCATTGCCATGCCAGGGAAGAGCACTGTCAGGGTTCCCTTCTGTTGCTTTCACCACCAGCAGCAAGGGGCTACATGTTGGAATTGAAAATGCAAGGAATTCTGAGAACTTTGGGCCTGTAAGCCAAAGCTTAAAATTAAACACAGGATTTGATCTAAGACCTTGGGAAAAGCTTCCAAACTTAGGTGCTAGAAGCGAGAATATAGATTTATAATTTGAAACAGAGATATGTTAAACTAAGTGGAAGAAAATTTAGAGTTTTAGAGTTTAGTGTAAGTTTGTGTGTCATAACATTATTGGCTCAGAAAGCTTACACTGTAACATGAGTCCATAAGATGAAATATTTAAAAATCAGGTCAAAAACATAAATGTCCTTGTTAGCAGTGTTTTATTAGTCAATAAATCCTTAAAAGGTCTTGTAACTAGCCATCTTGTGACCTTCTGAACCATGCCGTAAAGATGTGAACCAAACTCACCTTTCCTACCTATGTAGGAGATAAAAAAATAAACCACATCATCTAAAACAACTGGAAAACCCCGTCTGTAACTCATTCAAAATTCCTTCAAAAATCCCCATAACTCCTTTGCTTTCTCTCTCTCACAGGGCACTCAAAGCTCTCTGGGGTTACCTGACCCAGAAAGGAGTTAATTGTGAGGCCATCTGGGAGAAGATTAAGGACATCGTTATCAAAACCATCATTGCGTGAGTCTTGGCACCCCTTGCTCTGTGTGTCTGTGAGGTGCACCTTGGCCCTTTTGACTGTACAGTCCCTTCTCAGCTTGGTCCTTTTGTTCTTAACTGAAATAGTATCACTGCTGTTGGCTTCAGTATTTCTCTGCAGATCCCTCCTTTCACCTTGTTACTTATGCTCCTGCTATAGTAGCTGCAGTGGGTAGATAGATCTTACATTTCCCTGACCTGCCTGAAGGCCAGAAACGTGCAGTGTACCCAAAATTGCCCAGCTTGCCACCCACTCCCCTGCTTTGCCTGGGAGCCTGAGAGAATGGTCCCTGGTGCAGGATAAATCTTGTATTCAGAGGTGGATGCTACCTGACACAGCAGGGATGCTCAAGATGCAGTGCTGGATCCATATGTGGTGAGGCAGCAGCAACACACAGGCCTGTGTTGGTCCCTCAGCCCACCTGCTCCCGCAGCACGTGGCTGCATTACACTTCCAGAACTGTCAACACGTGCTGTGAACAGCCAGAGCTCTGCTGTCTGTCTGACTGTTGGAAACAAGCGTTTTTTTCTTGGCTTGCAGTTCTGAGCCCTACGTGAACAGCCTGGTGAAGATGTATGTGCACCGGCCATATTGTTGCCATGAGCTGTTTGGGTTTGATATCATGCTGGATGAAAACCTCAAGCCCTGGATCTTAGAAGTCAACATTTCCCCAAGGTAAAGCATATTCTGAGCCACAGCAGAGTGGATAATGGCCTTTCTTTTACTACAAAGTGAGTTAGGCTTGCAATGTCCCCTGTAGCCTGTGCTGAAAGATGATGGGCTTCGAAGCTTCCCTCTCCAGATTGCAGGAATCAAAGCCCTCCCTGTCTGTGAAAGCAACATTCCTCTGCAGTTCAGAAAGCTTTTCTGGGCATGCTCCAGCTAGAGCCAGGGAAGAGCATGTTAAAAAAGGAAGGCAAGGAGGGATGTGTCTTGTACAGAACGGGTGATGGCAGAGATTTCTCTGCGTGGGCAGAAGCAGTCAGCAGTTCCACTGCCTCGTGCACTGTTCTTTACTTCCTGACCGCATCCGGCCTTGTGGTGTCGGCTGTGCAGGCAGGGCTGGGAGCTGCAGTGTAACCAGCATGGCCCCTCCTGTCTGTGAGAGTGGGTGGGCATGAGCTGTACACAGAGCCATGCACACGGCTCTGGGGATGGATTTGCCTATTTCTAGCAAAATTGGGAAGAGATGGAAAAATTAACTATTTCTGATAAGAAGCCGCCCCTTCAAAGCTCTATTGTCAGGATTTTTCTCTCAGTGTTTTGTGGCTGGTTTCACAAAGCAAGGGACAGACCGGTGTTTGTGTCTCAGTCAGTGATAACGCAGGGATTGATCTTGGGGCCGTGGGGCTCAACCCCTCCATTCTAGCACTCAGGCTGCTGTGATGCTTCCTCTCTGCAGCCTCCACTCCAACTCCCCACTGGATGTGAGCATCAAGGGCCAGATGATTCGGGACCTCCTCAACCTCGCTGGTTTTGTTCTGCCCAGCGTGGACAGTGTGGCTTCAGAGACACAGACAAGAAGTTGCTCTACCTACAGGTTATCCTCCTTCTCTGTTAGAGAAGCAGGCTTTTTTCTTGAGGGATTTCATCTGGGGGTGCTGCTTGGAGCCCAGCAAATACTGGCTTCTAGCTGTTGAGAGCCTGTGCTTGCTGGTGTTTAAGCTATGGGTTCAAAGAACTTGTCTCCTTGCCTGAGTATCTGGTTCCTGTGGTCTCTTCAATGCAGAAGGATTTATGCCCTCTCTGCAGGTCCATAGCTGGAAGTGAGGCCAATGTAATTTGTGCTTGCTCTGCAGTTTGTCAAGTCGTGCTCTCTTGTCCTTCCCCCTGCCAGAACTAATATGATGCTAAGTTTTACTGCCTCTCTGTTTGCTTGGAGGACTGGCTGGCTCTGTTGGGGCTGGATCCACTTACCCACTGACTTACCAAAACTGACATGCTGCAGCCTGGAGCAAGAGGAGCACCTGTTATTTTGCAAATGCTGGAGTGATCAGTTCTTTAGGCAGGACTGCAGGTGTCACATGCTGTCAATTTATGGGTGGAGGTGTGCAAAGTCTTACTTCACAGCCAACATGGCTGTTTTTTACAGAATGCTAGTTCCTGGGTGTGTGTCCAGCCGGACCCCTAATATTTCTGTGTTTCACCACAGCTAGGGCTTATCCTGGTTTCAGACCTGATGGCTGGAAGGAAACCAGTCTGCAGCAGAATGGCTGCTGGCCATATGTCACGGAAGGATCAGCTTGCTTGGTTAAGCACCAGCATGCAGTGATGTGTGGGCATGCCAAAAGATGGGACTCTTGCCCTGAGTGCCCTGTGCCTTCAGTGGAGAAGCTGGGAACATGAGAGCTCCAGATGGGGAGCTCTCACCAGCTTATCTGCGGTGCTTTGATCACATGCTGGTTTGCCACTTCCAGTGGAAGTGCTGAAGGGCAGGTGTCCTCAGAAAGACCTGCAGGGGATTAAGTGGATCCTTAACATGGTTCAGATGATGCATTACCAGATTTCTTGCATCCAGAGGCAAGCTTGTTTAACTGTATTTCCTGCCCTGGGAAGCATATGAAGGGATTTTTTAGCATACGGGCAGAATTCCAGTAGATCTGCATGTTCCCCAAGCACCACGTGGCACAGACTCAAGGTTCTACTCTCCCTGTTTGGAGATGCACACAACTAAAGTTTTGCAGCAGCAGAAAAAAAAAGCTATGTTGATAGATGGGTTAAAAGGTTTTCAAGAAGTATCTCCCAGATTCTGGCATCCCCAAAGGTTAAGTTGGTGTTTAGAATAGATGGTTGCTGGTCGGGTAATACAGAAGGCCAGGACTTCCCATGGCATGTGGCTGAATTTGAGTCCTGAGAGTACTTCAATATTGCCAGAGGAAGTTTTTGATGTAAGAATTCTCTTCTTCCTTGTATGGTACCAGTACTGGGTACTTGCACCCCCATCCCTGTGCTTGCAGTTAGGAAGCTGTGTTCCAAGTGGGATGGAAACATGAGATCCCACCAGGCTTCATGTGCTGTGAATCACATCATGGTGTGTCTTTGACCCTCGAGCATCCTATGTGAGTGTGAGGTGATGGCTCACCTTTTGGGTGAAGGATCACTGAAATGCCTTAGTGAGGGTCTGGCAGAGTCCTCCCAGTTTCCCTGCCCACATCCTTCCCACGTTCTGTGCTGGTGCACAAGGCTGTGGATCCATCACTGATGTCGTAACTAGTGAAATCGTTGGAGAAAGCGTTCTCTCCTCCATGTCATTTTCATGAGGGTGTCATTACTCTCTCAGAAGTTGCTGGGAGCAGCTCTGCCATGACAAGACTTTGTCTTCTCTACTTAAATGCTCTATTGTCTCTCTTGTGTCCTCAGTATGAGCAGTGCTTCGAAGAAGTCCAAGCCAATATCTGAGCATTTGAGAGCAGAGAAGATGAAGAAGGTCTATTACTTGATGCAGAAGATACCTGACCAGGTACAAAACAACCTCCTCTGTTACTTGCATCATCATGCCAAGCCCATGTCCCAGCCAGTCCCACATGTCTGTCCCTTTTCAGATTGTGCTCTACTCTGGACTCAGCCAGATGATGGGGTGCACTTGGGCTTCAGTGGGTTACAAGACAGCTGGTCAGAAATAAACTGGGTTTGCTTAAGACACAGTCTCACTGACTTACCTGTACATTAAAATAGATGTGTGCTGAGGGGCGCATTACCCACCAGTCCCCAAACAGAGTCTGAGCACTGCCTTATATGTCTGTGCATCTCTTACAGCCTTTGCCAGCTGACCCCTGTGCTGGGTTAGTAGGGTCACTGGCCTTGTGTGCCTCCTGGCAGTGTATTTAAGAGAGGCTGGGCTGCAGAATTGGTGTTCTCTTAAGTTCTTGCAGCGTTGGTGTCACCATTGAGCCTAGATTCCTTCCACAGTTTCCCAAAGATCTCAGACACATGGAGACCTCTGCTTGAGAGATGTTTCTCCCTGACCTTGGGTTGCTCTTGTCTGCAGGATTTTTATTCTTCTGTCTTGGACATCCTGACCCCAGATGACGTTCGTGTCCTGGTGGAGACAGAGGATGAGTACTCGCGGCGCGGGCAGTTCGAGCGGGTGTTCCCCAGCCACATCTCCATGCGCTACCTGCGCTTCTTCGAGCAGCCCCGTTACTTTAACATCCTGGTCACCCAGTGGGAGCTCAAGTACTACTCGAATAGACACAAAGGTAACTGCCCTCCAAAGCATGGCACAGCCACCTGACTCAGGCAGGCTGCCTGCCAGCAGTCGTGGGAGATTTCTGAGCTATGCATGTTGAGGGGGAGCTGCCTGCCTGCATACTAACCCCCAGGAAATGTGTTACCTTCCCAGACTGCTTCAAATGTCACAAAAAGCTCATTCTGACTCGATGAGAGGTGATTACTGTTCTGGTACACACAGCACCAGCACTTCTAGGTGCCCTGGGCATGAAGCAGACTGGGATTTTGCCTTCAACCTGTAGCTTTGGCCTCTTACTGTGTTTCTCTGCTCTCTTTTGATGGAGAAACAGCTGGATTTGCTGGGCTTTGCTCCTGACTAGTGATCTGTGAAGGAAAAATTGGGCCTATTCCCTGGTCTCCTGCAGCTTTCTAATTGATGAAAAACAGTCAGCGTACGAATGGAATTTTTTTCTAAACACTAGAAATCTAGCTAACATTTCCATCCTTTCAGGACACAATTCTGTATTTTAATAAAAACATTATCCTTTAATGAGGCATAGCTGGGCTGGACCAATTCCTTCTCACTCAGGGTTGCCTCTATCAGGGCAGCAGTACAAACTGTTTCTGGGGGAGAGTCAGTGAGACCTAGCATGAAGGGTTAGAGAAAATAAAAAGAGGCTGTGGCTGAGGATTTTCCATCCAATAGCTGATCTAGATGGAGATCTTCTGGAGGAGCTGGCCCTCTACTGCAGTGACTGTGTGCTCCTCACCTGGCTATCAAGGAGAGAAAGAAGACAAATGCTTTTGTCACTTTTCACTGGTGTTAAAGCAAGTATCAAAGGGGTCAGTAACAGTCCTTCACAGAGAGATGGTAACATCATAGCCTTCTCTGGCTGTGTTGTCAGCACGTGTCATCCTTTGCCTTGCTAATATCTTTGCTGTATGATCTTCCATCAACTGGAAGAAAGATTCTGTCATCATCCTCACTGAAGTGCTGCCCTGAACTTTGCTGCTCAGGCAAGGGTCCTGCTTCAGTGCTCCAGCTTCCCCAAAGAAAGCAGGCGAGCAGATTTCCTCTATCCCATCACTGCTCTGTACTTCTGAGCAGAGCTCACCCTCCCCCTTCCCCTTCCTCTTCCCCTGTGTTCCATGCAGCACCCCTCTTTCTCTAGCCAGCAAGATGCAAAGCCCAGACTGGTGCACAGAGCCAGCACAAAGCATCTGAGCTGCCCTGCTCCCCTTGGCCCCCAACAAGTGGGGTTTTTTTACAAGGTTCTGGGGCTTGCTGAAAGGTCACCAAGGAACAGGCTTTGGACAGCAAGGATTTCCCCAGGTATCTTATAGAAAACCACAGTAATGCCAGCTGGACAGCATCAATGGAGAAGCCATTGCTCTGCTGGTTCTTAATTCTCAAGTCACCCTAGCCTTCTGCTATGACCCAAAGGCTCTTAAACAAGAAAACAGGATGGGATTTCTCAATATTTTTGGGTTAGCCAAAGAGCAGGGTGCTTGGCTGTAGAGGGGGACAGCTTGCAGAAAGCCCTAGAGGAAGTGGAGCCTGTTCTGTGCAGTTGAACACATGGCTCTGCTTCAAAATGACCTTGCTGTGCTCTGGACCACCATGTCTTGTGTGTGGTGAGAGGATTGGTCCCTTCCAGTCATACCAGCGATGATCTCGGCTTGTGCCAGTCTTTACCCTCTGTCAGGGATGAAGTCTCAGCCCATGTTGAGCTCTGGATGGATCCCTGTAGGGTGGAGGTGATGCACTGGGATGCTGCAGCTGATCTGTGCTGTGCAAGGAGGAGGTTGCCTGAGCTGCCCTCCTCTGGGAAAGGGGTCAATGACAGCAAAGCTGCTCTACATTTGCACGGTGGGAACTTTCACCGGTGCAGCCCAAATCAGGTACTGCTGTTGGCAGGCACTGGGCTCAGGGGGACATTCAATCTGGTCTAATTCGGCAAATCCTGTGTTGCCCCAGTTTTCCTGTTTCGCTGAGCCTGCTGCAGGGAATGTCTTGGCTCCCTGGGAGGAAGGCAAGCACTGCAGCAGCCCACGCACTGATGTTTGCTCGTACAAAGGGTGAACGCCCTGGGTTTACCCCGTGTTTACTGGCACTCAGGCACGTGTTCAAGTAGTTATTGCATAGCATGTTCTGTGTGGTCAGTGCAGCATATTTGCATGCCCTGAACTGGGAAGGCTTAACTCTTTGTAAACCTGGCTGTTCATTCTCATTTACTGTCTTCTGTCACTTCCCAGGTCTGGAGCTACTGAAGAACTGGTGTGTCAAAGGGTACCACACTGGGGCAAGGACGGATTTGGCCCAAATGGTATGTATAAGTGGGGGTAAAGTAGGCACAGAATGGTTGTTTACCTGCACAGAGTTGGGTAAAGATCCTGCTTGCTCTGCTTCCTCTGGCTCCTGTCTTACCTGTTTGCCTTCTTCCCTCTTTGCCAAGGCCTCCAGGAGTCTGGAAAAACCCATGCTGCCCTATTTCCCACAAACATGAAGTCATGAACAGTATATTAGATCTGCAAGTATTTTGCATCTGAATATCCTTGGGTGCACTGGGCACAGCCCTACATATTTGGCACCTGTTCTGACCACTGTTGTTCTCTGTGAGGGAGTCATCTCTGTCTGTCACTCCTGTGCCTTACAGCAGAATGCTGCTCTGAAAGAAACCCACTCTTGACCTCGAGATGTTCTACTCCCACTTTGAGCAGAGGGATTCATTAGGCAGAGAGCAAAGATTGCTCTGTTTGCTATTCTGGGAACAATCTGGTGGCAGTGACAATGCACAGCAGTGAGGCAGCTCTAGCTCAAGCTCTCTAGGGCAGCCTATGGCAAAGCACAGCAGGCTTGAGGGATTTTTGCCATGACTTAAATAGCCATTCTGTTGTCTTCCTCTCCTTCCACAGTGGTCATTGCCAAAGTCGCTGTTCCTCCAGAAGAGTGGCATTCCATCAAATGGCTTCAGCAAACTGGAACTGGGCAAACTGGGGTGAGTTTGCACTGGCCATGATGTTCATGGTGTTCATAGTGTGGCTTTCGGACTGGTGTCCTAGTAGAAAACTGGCTGCCCAAAAAGCGGCTTTATTAAAGGGAGAGGAGCAGATTGGTTTGCAGGCTCTGAAGCCTCTGCTCTCTGAGGAGCCAACAGATGGAGCTGGCATGATATCTGTGCAACTGGGCATCTTGGCACTGTACACCCAGCTTAGATGGGAGCTCTGAAGCTCAGAACAGCCAGATTAGGTGATGCTTGGAGCTGTCATGGTCAGAACATGCTGACAAGATATTCCCTGCACTGGAACTTGTATCACTTCTGTGGGCACTGATGTGGTTAACAGTGAGCAGAGGCTCTCAGCTGCAGCACTGGCTGGGGGAACAGTGAGGTCTCCAGGTCTGTTGCACTCTCCCAGCTTCCCCAAGCAAAGCTGGACTGCTGACAGCTTCCTGCAGAGGTGGAGGACTGGAGTTTGTCTGGATGAGACAAAGTGAAAGGGAGGCACACCCCTGGTCTCTGGTTCTAAGAGAAAGGTCATCACTGTTCCTGTGCTGAGACCAGGGTGGAGTTGGGTTTACACACAGACAGGAAGACTTAGCTGTAACCCTGCAGTCCCACTGATATTGGGATACCTGTTGGGGTCAGTGGCACTGCCTGGAATGGGAGATGGAGTGGATAAGCCTGGCAGCCCTATCTCTGAGTCCCTGTGTCGTGATACAGCAGATGATTATTGCACCATGGTCCTTTTGGTTCTTTCTCACTGTCCTTAAGAAGCTCAGGGTCTCCTTTTCGTTGCAGCTCATGCCTCCCTTCAGCTGGTGAGGATCTCACAAGATGCCTGGAGCCCAGCCCTGCTCAGAGCTTACCTCTCAACAAGTGCACTGATGGAGCCAACCAGAGACCTGCTGGCTGCCTCAAGGACACTGCCCTGGTGATGTGACCAAGCAGCCACCGTCCCTCCCTGGGGACACATCAACCTACCTCAAAGGAAGACATAGGAGCTGGCTCTGTAGAGCAAGGACTGTGAGAGCCCTTTGCACTGCACACTTGTTTTGGGGCTGGTTGTAGAGAGAGATGTTTTCCTAGGCAAAGAGGAGGCCTGTGTGACTTCATTTTGTAAAGCAAGTGGCAAAGCTGGAGGAAGTGGGGGTTATCTGGCTTTTGTCCTAGACTGAGAAAGCCTGACATTGTGGTTTCTTTGCTGTGTGAGAGCTGGCTGAGCCTGCCCTTCTATCCCCAGTCAGCACAGGCTGAGCCCTTGCTCGCCTGTGTCTGTGTCCTGAGTTGCTGGCAGCTGAGCCTGCTCTTGCCCTGCTGCAGCCTGGCCCCTGGAGATAAGTCCCGAGTCCTCATGCCTGGGAGAGAGTAAAACTGCCCAGTTTTATCCTTTCTGAATGTCTGTGCCAACATCCTGCCCTCCCCCAGCAACAGGCCCCATGGGAGACCTCAGGCTTGCACATTGCAGCTCCAGGGAGACCGTGGGTACCCGTGTGGCTCCAGTTGGTTGTGGGGGCAGTGGGGCTGCTGGGGAGGGAGCATCCTTCTCAGGGCCATTGGCTCTCTGGTGTGCCCTGCAGCATGTGTGCATAGACTGCAGGCTAGTGCTCTTCTCTTGGGTCTGCTCTCTATTTTCTCCTTGTTTCTCAAGGATTTCTATTAAATTTTAACACTCAACTGCTTTCCTGGTTCTCATCTGCCTTCCTTTCCCTGACCTCTTTGGGTCTGGTGGGAAGCTCACCCCTTCCCATGCTTCACTAGGCTCTGATACAGGGAGGGTTTGTGCTACCACCCACTTCCCTGTCCTTCCCAGGCCTTGGGGTAGTTCTTGCTGCCCTGTGGCAGGTGAACATACCCTCCTGCATGAAAAAGCAGCTCCCAGTATAACTGCTTTGGTCTGGAGTCTTTCTTATGTCTTAGAAACTATCCCGTGCATCGTTAATCAAGGAGAACAGTTCAGTCCAACCTTACAAGGGGGGTAGGAAGGGTTGGGCGCTGAGCTGCTTCAGGGTTCTGTCCCCCCAGTATGGTAGGTGAATGCTGGGTGCATGGGCAGGTTCTTGGGGCCCAGAGGAGGTGCTGATGTGTGGGCCCTGGGTCTGTTAGAGAGCCTTTCCCTCCCCTCTCCTCGCAGCCCACCATTTCCCAGTACTGGGCCCTGTTTCTCTGGTCTCCTTGGTGACAATCTCATCTCTCCTCGGCTTCTCTCCAGCACCTGAAAATAGCCTCCGAAAGTGGAGATGCCTGCTCCCTTCCCTGCTGCCAGCACCCACGATGGCCAGGCTGGAGCCAGGCTGCTCTGCTCAGCACAGCTGTAAGGGTCTGGCCCCATGGGCCCCTGCACCACTGCGGGACTTGGACCACCCTGTGAGCCAGCACCAAGCTCGTCCCTCCTCTTCCTGCCTTCTCTGAGGCAGCACCAGGGAACTCCTTGTACCTCGCCATGGGCCTGTATCCAGCTGTCCCCTGCGGCGAGAGAGCTGTCCCTTTGGCCCTGTAGCCACCAACCCTGCAGCCAGCCCACAGCCTCCCAGAAATAGAAATCGGAGCCGGGAGCGGGCAGAGGGCGAGCAGGAGGGGATGGCCCCGCGGCAAGGAAGGAGGTTACCCCACAGGTCGGGCTGTCTCCGCCGTGGGAGCAGGGTCACCGCAGGACAGTGAGCTGCAGCAGGATCCGGGGCAGGGACAGGCAGGGCTGGGCAGCGCCGGGGACAAAGGGTCCGCATCCCCCCAGCCCGTGGCTGGATCCAGCCATTCTCCAGCATCCCCGTGGAGAGGGGAACGCTGTGTCCCCCACCGCGACGGGGCCGGGCAGCACGGGGCAGGCTGGGCCGCGTCCCGACGGCGCGGAGCACCGCTCCTGGAGGACGGGGGGCGCGGAGCGGGGCGTCCCTCCTCTCTCTGTCCCCAGCCATCCCTCCATCGCGCCCTCCCTCGGGGCCCCAGGGCCAGCGCTGCCCCCGGGGCCGCCACCGCCTAGTTCAGCCCGAGGCTGCTCGGTGGCTGCGGGCGCTGCTCGGCGGTGTCGGCCGTGTCCCCCCCCGCGGCGGTGGCGGTGGGGGCATGGCTGGCATTGCTCGCTGACACTCTATCTGCCAGGGCCGCGCCAGCCGCGGGCCCAGAATAGCAGCGCTGCCCCGCAGAGAGCATGGAGCGGCTCCGTGGCCCCGCCGCGTCCCAGGTACCGTAAGGCTGGGTGGGGGGCGCGGTACGACAGACCCCCGACTGGGGACAGGCCACTCCGGGGGCGGGAGAATGTGGGCGGCTGACGGGCCCCTTCCCTCGGACATGCAGCCCTGGGAACAAGGACGTCCTTGTCCCAGCTGTGCTAAGCCCCTTGGGAACGGCTGGGGCAGGTGGTGCAGGGTCTCTTCCTTCTCCGTGTTGGCTCTAGGCTCCTTAGGGAGTGGTGGTCCCCGTCTCCGTGCCTTCATTATTTTAGGGTGGCCTGTAAACTTTGGCTCTGTCAGGAAGATTTGTGGCTGGGGTAGCTCTTCCCTCTGCATGTGCTGCTGTGTTAAATAGGGTCTCCTGGGGACTGGGGGAACAGGGTCAGCCATCTGGCCCTGTGTATTCCCTTCTTCCTTGGGCTGCTGCTTTGTTTAGTATAGGTTTCCTGGGATGGACCTGGTTCCCGGGAGGGACCAATGGGATTGGTGAGGCTCTCTGCATAGGAAGAAGTGAGAATGGAATTTACACCTTGGGATTGGGAGAGGATGGGTGCAGAGCCACTGTGGGACATGCTTGGCTCCAGCAGCCGAGAGAGAAGGCAGGAGGTCCTGCCATTCATGCCTTGTCCTGCTCTGGAGATCCCTGCTGTCTCCCCAGAGCAGGAGGACAAGCTGGGCGTCCTGGACTGGAGCTGCCATGGAGGCTCTGGGGGTCCTGGGCTGGTGGGGGGTGCCCACATCCCCACCCTGAAAAGACAGTTCTCTCTGCCTGGCTTGGGTGGGCAGAGCAGCTGGGTGGGTGCAGGCAGAATCTATGGGGGGGGAAAAGACTGAGTTGACTCCTGCTGACCCCTGCTCACTGTGTGCCCTCTCAGGTGGCGCTGCTGGATGCTGTTGCATGCCCTGAGGAGGAAGGTGGGTAGCAGGAAGAGTCTAGGTATGTAGGAGGGGGGACTGCCTTACCATGTGACAAGTGCATTGGTCCTCTGCCCACCCTGCCCATACCCCTGTCCTCAGCTGGAGTCTGCCCCAGGCTGGAGAACGGCTATGGAGAACTGTTCCTGTGGAATCGGGAACAGGGGGCTCTGTCAGCAGCATCCCCTGCTCCCCCCAGGCAGGAGGGTGCTGAGACCCAGCAGCTGAGACCCAGCAGCTCAGCTTTACTGGCTAGGGCTGGGCTGACTTTGCCTGCAGGGTTTCCGAAGGCTGTATGCCCCAGGGAGGAGGAAGAGGAGGAGGAAGAATACAGGAGACCTGTCACCTTCACACTGGGAAATGAGATACTGGGGCTGGGCCCAGAGACCGAGTTTCAGACCCCTGATGCTGAGGTCTATATGCACTTCTTGAGGAGCCACTGCTGCTATGATGCCATCCCCACCAGCTGCAAGCTCGTTGTCTTTGACATCTCCCTGGAGGTGATAACCTGGGGGATGAGTGGGGATGGGCAGTGAAGAAGCAGGCCTGGGGATCCTCTGAACCCCTCTGCACTCTGCCAGCAGATCAAGAAAGCCTTTTTGGCACTGGTGGCCAACGGGGTTCGTGCTGCCCCGCTCTGGGACAGCAAGACGCAGAGCTTTGTGGGTGAGTGGCAGAAGCAATGCCTGGCCCCAGCCCCTGCCTGGCAGAGCGGGTACAGGCAGCGCTGCCAGCCCCACGTGTCTCCACAGGGATGCTCACCATCACCGACTTCATCAATATCCTGCACCGCTACTACCGCTCACCTCTGGTGAGTGCCACGAGGAGGGCTTGGGGGATCAGGACACCCATGGGGCAGGGAGTGGCTGTCCCCACCACTCCTGGTCCCTTCTTAATGGCTAGACGATGACCAGGGGATGATTCTGGGCCAGATCAGCATCTATTGTTGCTCCCCTGCTTGGCCCCCAAAATTTAATCCCTGTGTTTGTATGATGGGGCACGATACCCAAGGAAGGGGGCAGTGTCTCAGAGTGCCCTCAGTCCCCCATGGAGCCACTACGACCAGGGCATTTCCCTGCCTCCAGGTGCAGATCTACGAAGTGGAGGAGCACAAGATTGAGACCTGGAGAGGTAAAAAACATGTGGGTGGCTGGGCTGATGTTGTCACACAGGGCATGGAGGTGGGCTCTGGGATTGTGGGGCTGCAAGAGAGGGCTGGAGGACCTCCTCTCATAGCTCTCTCCCTTGGCAGAGGTGTACCTGCAGGGCTCCCTCAAGCCACTGGTCTACATCTCTCCGAGCAATAGGTGAGAGCCTGTCCACTGAGGGGGAGCACACCCTTTGCAGTGGGGTGTGTGTGCACCTGAACACAGCCCTGTCCCACCACGATGTCCACATCACCCACAGCCTCTTCGATGCTGTCTACTCCCTGATCAAGCACAAGATCCACCGCCTGCCTGTCATTGAGCCTGTCTCGGGCAATGTCCTGCACATCCTGACGCACAAGCGCATCCTCAAGTTCCTCCACATCTTTGTGAGTGCTGGGGCTGTTTGTGCACACTCATGGCTGGTGTCACAGGCAAGGGTGTCAAGGTACATGCAGGTGCCAGCCCAGCCCTGCCCTGTCCCATTGAAGGCTTCTACCATCCCCAAGCCACGCTTCCTGAAGAAAACAGTGCAGGAACTGTGCATTGGCACCTTCCGTGATCTGGCCGTCGTGGCTGAATCTGCCCCAGTCCACACTGCCCTGGAGATTTTTGTGGATCGCCGTGTCTCTGCCTTGCCTGTCATCAATGATGCTGGTACCTGGGGAGGGAAAATGTGACGTCCTCATCTCCCTCTGCTAGCAGCTCCAGCACCATCCCTACCCAAAACCCCTCTCCTGGCCCTTGGGCTGCCCCTTGGGTGTGGGAGGAACATGGCAGGTGGTCCCTAGGGCTCCTTCTGCAGCCCCTGCTCTGTTTCTCTTTGCAGGGCAGGTGGTTGGCCTGTACTCGCGGTTTGATGTCATTGTGAGTACCCTGCATGTGTGCATGTCCAGGCTCAAGTTTGGCCCCTTGCATGCACTGGTGGGGTCCTTATACCTGTCTGTGCCCACTCCACATGCATTGTCATGCACTTGCCAGTGCACATTTTCTCTGTGCATCTCCTGGGCTCGGTGTCCCCTCTCTGGTGGCACAATGGGGTGCAAGGACACCTTGGGGCGCTGAATGGGGACACATCTATCACAGCACCTGGCAGCCCAGAAGACCTACAACAACCTGGACATCAGTGTGAGGGAGGCGCTGCGGCAGCGCAGCATCTGCCTGGAGGGGGTCCTCACCTGCTACCCCCACGAACCCATGGAGGACATAATTGACCGCATTGCCAAGGAGCAGGTGAGTGGCTGGGGTGCCCTGTGCCAGCCACGGCTGCCAGCTGCCCAGCCTGCCCGTGATGCTCTGCCTGCACCCACAGGCCGGGGTGCCCTGTGCCAGCCACGGCTGCCAGCTGCCCAGCCTGCCCGTGATGCTCTGCCTGCACCCACAGGCCGGGGTGCCCTGTGCCAGCCACGGCTGCCAGCTGCCCAGCCTGCCCGTGATGCTCTGCCTGCACCCACAGGTCCATCGCCTGGTTCTGGTGGATGAAAACCGCTACCCGCGGGGCATCGTCTCCCTCTCTGACATCCTGCAGGCCCTTGTGCTCACTCCTGCAGGTATTGATGCTCTTAACTCTTAGCCCACGGTGCTCCATCTTTCTCCACTTGCACCCTCAATTTCTCTCCACTTCAGGTAGGCGCCATCCCCACATTGCTGTGTGCCTGTCCCCTCCCTGCTGCTGGGGCTCCTGCCTCTGCCTCTGCCCCATCCAAAGTGGTCCTGGGGGATGGAGGAGGCTGGGGCTGGGGTCTGGCAGAGCTGGGTGCCCAGGTGGGGACAGCAGAATGCAGATGCTGCTTGTCCCAGGGGTACACAAAGATCACAGGGGATCCCTGGTGACTGTGAGGAAGGATGAGGACACCTTCCATAGAGACACTCTGCCAGAATCCCATTCAGGCAGCGTGTGGAATGCAGGTTTTGCAGGTCCCTGGGCTTTGGGCTAGATGAGGGTTTTGGGGTGTGATGCACCCCCAGATAAAAGCCTATTTTTTATCTTGCCTCATTCCCCTCCTGAGACCTGAGCACCTCCAGTGCCATTCCCAAGGGACACAGAGTGGACAGACCCCACTCACACACCCCAGACCTGCTGCCCACCACTAGCCATAAACAAAATGTGGCCAGCCCGTGGGCCCCAGCTGGGAGAGCCCCCCACCCGCTCCACTTGCAGCAGCCCCAAAACTGTCTGTTCCAGAGACAGGGCTCACTCCCAGGTGGCACTGGAACCACGCTGCCTGGCCACCTGCAGCCGGCTCTGCTCACCCACTGCCTGGTGAATCCTCACTGGCTATGGATGGGCATGGTCCTGGCACTCACTGTGGCACCTCTGTAGGGGTGAAATGAGGAGGGGGGAGCTGGCTCCAGGTCCCAACTGCTTCCCAAAGGTAATTATGCTTTTTGGGGTGGTGGTGGGCAGTGGGTTGGGACAGGCCTGTGCCTACCAGTTCCCCCAGCAATGTCCACCTGCTCTGCACAGAAGGGGACTGGGAATGGTGTGTGTTAGCCACTAATGGGATATCCTCTTCCCCCTCCCCCCATCACAGTGCCTTTGCTCACCCTGTCCCTGATGCCCACAGGGGCGGCTGTATCAGGAGCTGCAGGTGGCCACTGAGAGGTCCCATGCCAGCCAAGCTTCCCTCCCTCCTACCCCAGGGCTTGCATACAAGCAAGGACTGGAGGAAAGACCCCAGTGTCCACTGGGATGCTGGAGGGGCCATGTCACAGGGTGGCCAGTCCAGCACTCATTGGGGATTATGGTCTCATACGCTCTCTTGCCCCACAGGCATCGATCGATCCTCACTCTGAAGACACCAGGGAAATGCCACTGTCTTGTCTGACTTGGGGATCTCCTGCGTGACCTGTGAGAAGGAGGCTTGGGCCCAAAGGCTCTCTGTGGGGAGGACATGCCTGTTCACCCCAGTCCTCAGGCTCGTCTTGAGTCCAGGGCTAGATCCTGCCGTCTTGGAGAGGCAGAGACACTGACAATGGGACCCAGGGGTGCCTCCTGCCAGTGAGCACACAGCGATGCTCAGTGGGCACTATGCTGAGGGGCTGCAACATGCCTGCAGCTGGGCAGAGCCCCATACAGCCCCAGAGGACCTGGCCACCCTCTGCCATCCTGCTAATGGATCTGAGCATTTCTATTGTGGCTCCCTCCTAGTGAACACAGTCCCGCTGTCTGTGCTCGGTGCCTGGTAGCGTAGGCTCAGCTGCACACACAGGCTTTTTTATTTTAGCATCACACGGGGCTGGAGCTCTCTGGCAGAGGCACAGCCCGTGCCAGAGCTGGCAGCAGGATGGGCACTTGCATGGAGACCCTGTGCACATTTTGGGATGGGCAGGGGATATTTATTTATTTGTTAGTCTGTTCAGCCTTGCTGTAACAAAACAGCCTGATCGAAGAATTGCCTCTTGCCTTTCTGGGGTAAAGCTGGGCATGACTCCTCTGGAGGGAACCAGGCTGGGGAAGGGGTACTGGCTGTTTGCCAGCAAGTTTGGCACTGGCAGAGCAGTAACTCGGGGGGAGAACCGAGGGGATGGGGACACAGGGCATGCAGTCTTAACCATCTTGGTGGTGTGCAGGTCCCTTCAGGGACACACTGAGGGACAAAAGCTTTGGTACCTGCAAGGTTTCTGCCTGCTGCTTCCCTCAGTCCAAGAAGCAGGAAAGTATGAGGGGTTGACTGTTAAAAACGTCCCATGCCCCATCCCTCGAGGCCTCTGGGCAAAAGGCAATGCATCCCCTGCCTGTGACTGCTACCAGCTGCGAGCCTTGCAATGGTCCTGGCTTGGGGGTAGGGGATGCTGAGCTGATCTTTCTTGTCCTGCTTTGCCTGCAGTGAGCCCTGCCATTCCCGTTACCCCATATCAGCATCTCGGCGCAATAAAGGCTGACAGTGGAAAGTCCCAGGAGCTAAACACCCCTCCTGAGCAGGCTGGCTCTGCCAGGGGATGCAATACCAGTCCTGGGTGGTGACAGGCCTCCTCCCATCATGAGGAATGTGTTATTGCTGGGCTTTCCCAGGGCCACGGCTGGCTCTGTCCCTTGGGAAAGGCGCAAACCCCAAACACCACCAGCACTCAACCCTCCCCTGGGGGCAAGGGGAAAAGTGAGGCACAGAGAAGTTTCTGAGGCCAAGGTCAGCTGTTCAGAGAGGACCCAGATGTCCTGGCTCCAGGCACAGATCCACACGCAGCTACACAAGGACAGGACGAAGGAGACACCGAATGGCTGCAAGCCCCCTCCCTGCTTTCCCCCAGCCCCAAAAGGGCTCCCAGGTTCCTGACACAGCCCAGCTGGGCACGGGATGGGTGGGACACAACCCCCCTGCAGTGTGTCAAAGGCACAGCAGTTCCCCCAGCCTCCTGCTGATTTTGGGCAAGGGGCTACTAGTGGCCATGGGGTGATTTGGGTCAATCTCTCATCCCCCCCACCTTTCCCCCTGGCCCAAGCTGGCCAGGGAAGGGGTTTGCCTTCCTGTCCTCCTTGTGGGGCAGTAAGGGGGATCTCCATCTGGCACCCAGGGTGGGGGTGGACGTGCAGTCAGGGGGCTCCCGGGCGAGCGATGAATTCCAGGTTGATGGGCTTGTCAGCCACCAGGACAATGCGGGACACAGACGTCACTTCTACGCCACGGGGGTCCGGCCGCACCTCAAATGCCTGGATCATCTGTGGGGAGAAGAGGAGTTGGCAGTGCCTCAGGGACTCTCTGGGATGCATATCCCAGCTCATGGCAAGACACCCGAGGTGGAGGGATCCCTACTTACCCTGGCAAGGGCCAGGTGCATCTCCAGCTCAGCGATGCGGCGCCCGACACAGGCACGGACCCCGTAGCCGAAGGGGATGGAGCTGAAGGGGTGGTGAGGGGAGCCGTGTCCCCGGAGCCAGCGCTGGGGCAGGAACCGCTCGGGCTCGGGGAAGTAGGTTTCATCATGGGACATCGCGTAGTGCGCCAGGACAAAGAGGGTCTGCAGGGGGAAACTGGAGTTTAATGACCCCACTGAGTGCAGAGGGGGTCCCCACAGCACGGCCCCCACTCACATTCTTGGGGAAGAGGTAGTCTCCGATGACAATGTCCTTCTCATAGAAGACCCTGGCGTTGGTGGGCACCACAGGGTAGACTCTGGGATATGGAGAGAGTTAGTGGGGGAGCAGAACTCATCTGGAGAGAGCGAGATGAGACACGAGGACAAGGCTCAGCAGTTCCCCAGGGGAGAGGTGGATATTAACTCCAGAGGGACTGAAATACAGCCTTGCCTCCTGCCTGGTTGGTGCATCCCCCCTGGAGAAGGGGCTGGTGACCAGGACCTCAGGGCAGGGACAAGGCTGGCATGTACCTCAGAGTCTCCTTGATAATGGCCCGAAGCATCGGCAGCTTGGGGATATCCTCAGCAGCAGGAAACCGGTCGGGAGGCACAACAGCTTTCAGCTCCTGGTACAGGGTCTCCTGGATGTCTGGGTCCCGGGAGAGGTGGTACAAAGCCCAGGACAGCGTGTTGGAGGTCTGGGGAGTGGAGCACCAGGGGGAGTGAAGGAACTGGGGCCAGTACCTGAGCAGCCTTGTGCCAAGCACAGCATCGGTACGGCACCAGAGAGCCCCTGCTCTGGTAGGCAGAAAAGTCAGGGGTGAGGGGCAGCAAGCACAGGGGAGAGGGAGGCAGGGAGCAGAGGACAGGGTCTATATTGACCAGTCCCTGAGGGTTTGCCCCTGTGGAACATCAGCCGCAGCCAGGCTAGAGCTTGCAAGGGCTGGGTGGAGCATCGCCCCATGGGCTCCCCTGGGCATGGAGCACAGCAGGGATAGCCTGACAGCAGCTGCCTGGCTCTCACCGTGTCCACACCAGCCAGCAGCAATTCGGCCACGCTGCCATAGACCTCATCCAGGCTGAGTCTGCCACTGGCCAGCAGGTAGCTCAGGTAGCCAGACACCTCCGTGCCACGCTCCACCTGCCCCTCCAGCTCCTCCATCTTTCGGTCTATCAGTTTCTTGCCTGCAGGGACAGAGAGCAGGAACCAGAGCTGACAGAGCAAGGGCTGCCAAAAAGACATTTGGCCAGGGACTGCCCTGCTTTTGAGGGTCTTTAGGGAGTACAGTGCCACCACACTGGACCTCCACTGTCACCGCTCACCAAAGGCGAAAATGGTGTCCCAGCTGTCCAGGTAACGGTCCCAGAAGGGCAGCACCTTGCGGCTCCATCGGGGCAGGACGGTGGCAAAGATGGAGTTCTTGAACATGAGGTTGATGGAGTCAATGAAGTGCTGGGTCTCAGGAGGGACCTGCTGCTTGAGGCACCCGATGCGGGTCTCGAAGAGGATGTAAGAGATGCCTGTGGGGGACAAACAGCATCCAGACCTCTGGCAGAATGGGAACGGTGGGACAGGGTGGGGGTGAGGACACCCCTACCTTCCAGGGCAAAGCGGTAGAGCAGGTTGGCCACGTCCCCCACCAGCACCCCCGAGGGGCTGCGGCTCCGCTCCTCCCGCAGGCGCACCATCAGGTCTGACACCACCTCCCCGATGGCGTCCGCGTACAGCAGCGCCTCCGAGGGCTTCAGCAGCCGCTTGTTGAGCACCTGGCGCAGGCGGTACCAGCGCTCCCCTTCCCTGCATGGGGACGAGGTTCAGCGCCGGGGGCACGGACGGGCAGGGGGCAGTGGCTGGCAGCAGTTCCCCAATCCCTGTGTGCACACTCCCCACCCAGGCTGGAGCCATCCCAGGGGTCATTCTGCCCGCCATGGCCATGCCCTTCCGCTTGGTGGGGACAGGCAGCTTGCAGGAGTGGGAGTAATGCCAACGGGCACCTGGGCCCTGCACCTAGGGGAGGGGCAGGAGATGCTGGCCCAGAGAGCGCAGCCAGGGCGGGACTCACTCGGTGAAGGGTCCGTAGGGCAGGCGCCGGGTGTCCCGGTGCTCCTTCCACAGCGCCATGTCGCTCCGCATCGGGTACTTGCCCTCCTGCCGCAGCAGCTGCTCCAGCACCACTGGGCTCCCAATGTTGATGTTCCTATAATGTCCGAAGGTTGACTTCCAGATAGGTCCATAGAGGCGTCGGGATATCACCTGTGATCCACAAAGCGTGGCAGGGTCAATGGGACAAGCTGGGTCAGATCCTCCCTGCTCCAACCCTGAATGTGCCTATCTGCACCCATCCCACGGACCCCTCAGCATCACCTCAGCTCAAGCACCTGCCTCTGATGCCCCCAAGCTGGCAGCATCCTTGAACTGCTCTGCAGATGGCCTGGGCTGGTGTCTCCAGGCTCATTTCCTCTCCCAGCACTAAGTACACCAGGCACTGACCCCTCAGCACAGACTGGCACATCCTTCACCCACCCCAGAGATGCAGAGACAGCCTGGAGGGTCTTTTGGGGAAGGATGACCAAGAAGGGACAGCAGGGACAGAGACAACTGCCAAGCACAGGAGTGTGCTGAGATGCAGGACCATTGCAGCAACCACCAGCAGGACTAAGTCCTGCTGCTTCCAGCATGGCCCCAGCTCTGCTTAACGTGGGGACAACAGTTGCTGAGTGGGTCCTTGAACTCACCACCCAGTAAGGGTGGTTAATGATCACCAGTGGGAGAACAGCACCAGGCTAGGGCATGACTGGGCTGCTCCCAGAACAGGCTGTCACGTCCAGGGCATGGCCCTGGGGCCACAGGCTCACCAGCCAGCTAGGGGATGTTCGCCAACATCAGCCCTGCTCTGGGCCCTGTTGGCTGCAGCTCCCTTCTCCTTGTCTGCAGCCACAGGTGCCATGCCTGCTGCCCTGGCCAGGAGCACCATGACCTCCAAGTGCATCCCTTGGGGGCAGCTGGGCAGCCCTTTGCAAATGGATCTGCACAGGGCCACGTCCAAAAGCCACTTTCCATCCCACCCAGGCACTGCCAGAGCCCCTGCAGAGCATGGCCAAGCATGGGGGGGTTGCAGGGGACTTAGCAGGCAAGCCCTGGTCCCTGTTCCCCGTGGCTGCGGGGATGCACGTGGTACAATCTCCCTTGGTGACTGTCTGCATCGCAGCCTGTGCCTGGATTCAGCTGGATTCGTCACCACGGGGAGACGTTCCTCGTTCCTCGTGCATGGTGGCAGGAGGAGGGGGAGGGATGGCTGCCCTGGTACTGAAGGCAGCTCCTGGGCATGGGGCAGCTGTGCCCCGGCTTGGAGCCTGCCCACCAGCATCTGCTGGCAGCCAGGACCTGACACAGTGCAGGCCTTGGAGAGCTAGAGCTGCCTGGATACGGGGAAAGGCACCTCCAGAGCATGTGGGCATCTTTCTGCAAAGCCAGGCTGTGTCCCAAGGGCAGGAGGGAGCTCCAGTGCCTACACCCCAAAACCCCACTGTCCTGAGACAGTCCCTTCTTCAACCAGCAGTGCCTGGTGCTCTGAGATGCCAGGGAGGCCTGATCCCGCACGCTCCTCGGGCTGGTCAGAGCTCCAGGGCGCTGGAAGATGCCGCCTGGCTTGCAGCCAGCCAAGCCCATTGCTTGCTTCATCCGACGTATGAGGAAGTGTTGAGAGAAGAAAACAAATACCTCTGCCTACCCCTCCCCTGTCTTATATCATCTGCCCAAAAACCAGCCCAGTCACCTGCACCCAAAACCGCTGCTCCCTCCAGCTGTCACAGCCGGGAGCCCAGGCATGCCAGGACCCTGTGAGATGCCCCCGAACCTTTGCCCTCAGCTGCCCGGCTGGCTCGGGGATGTTGGAACAGCCCTGGGCAGGCTGGACCCTCCCGAGGTCACTCGGTTCTGCTGGTCCCTCTCTGCCTGCTGCCCTCAGCATCACCCTACGGCGCCGAGTGCCCCCCGCCGCCCAGCCCCTCTGCTCCCCGGCACTGCCGCCCCCGCTCAGCTCCCTGCCGTCACTTGTCGGCAGCTCACCCCCTCCCCGGAGCGCATCTCCCCCTGCCCCCAGCCCGCACCCACTCCCTCCCTTGCAAAGCCCCGGGTCCAGCACCCTCCCTGCAGCCCCCCGGCAGCCCCTCCATCCCACGCACCCCTCCGAACCCTCCTCCGCCGCTACGCCCCCGAGCAGGGTGGCCAGGCCCCCGCGCAGCCCGACCCCCGCACGCCCGCACCCCGGGCCGGGCTGCCCCGGCGCACCTGCAGCCGGTGCGTGTGCAGCAGGTAGCCCCGCAGGAAGAGCCAGACGAAAGTACGGAGCAGCCCCGGCCCCGGCAGCTCCTCCGGTCCCTTCAGCCGCGCCGGCCCAGCCGCCGCTGCCGCCGAGCCCCCGGTCCTGCGCGGCGGTCCCGGGCTGCTGCGCGGCGGCGGCGGGCGGGGGCGCAGGAGCAGCGGCAGCAGCGGCCACCGGGCCCCGCCGCTCGGGCCCGCCATGCTCCGTCGGCAGCGCACGGGACGGGGCGGGGCGGGGAGGCACGGAGGGTGGTGGGGGGCGGCACCGGGGGCGGTGCGGGGGGCGGCGCGGGGGCGGCGACCGGGCACGGGCACCGGGGACCGAGCATCGCGCACCGGGTACCGCGCACCGGCGAGAGAGAATCGCGCACCCGCGGCGTTGCGCAACGGGTGCTGGCCCCGGCTGCTGCGCTCTGGGTGCGGGGTACCGGCTGCTGCTCAGCGGGACCGGGCACGGGGCAGTCCGTACCGTGCGCCGGGCGCCGGCTGCGGCACACCTTCCACCGGGCCGTGCAGACCGGCTGCAGCGTGCTACGTACTCGGTACGGCACACTGGGCACCATGAGCCACACACCGAGTACTGGACAGTGGTGACTGCTCAGCAGCATCCCGGATCAGGCAGCGGGTGCTGGGTGCTGGAAATGGCACCAGGGGTGCCCGGTGCCCCGTAGCAGGTACTGGGTGCCAGGTGTTGTGCCTGGTGGAGCTTTGCACGTGGCAGCTGGCAGCCAGCACTGGCGTGGCACGGCAGGTACAGCGCCCTGGCACCATGGAGCCTGTGGCACCAGGTGCTGCTGTATCCTGGGCATTGCATCCATAGGCAGCGGGTGCTGGGCATTGCACACCAGGCACGGGCACAAGGACTGAGCACAGCACCAGCCAGGGAACAACGTGTGCCAGCACTGGCATTGCACTCTGGCATTGGATTTCACATCCCAGACCCTGCACACCTCGTATCAGCTCCAGGTTCACTACTGGGCTCCTCTTTAAGTCTGCTTGGCCTCCTGGACTGAGCCCTCCTGCCCTGCTTCTGTTCCCTGCCTGTCACCCCCCTGTGTATGCCTCGACCCCCAGCAGGGCAGGATGGTGCTGTGGGGAGCTGGGTCCAAACTGTCCCAGGCTCTTTCTCACCACTTTCTCCAGGCACTGCCAGCCAGGACCACGGGTGGGGAGACCTTGGTAAGTCCACTGTGGCTGCTGGCACCAAACTGGAGGGAGGTTTGCTATGTTTTCACACCAGTGAGAGAACAGTGCCAGCTCCTGCCTCAGGCTGGTGCAGGCCAAGCTGTCCAGCCCGTGAGCAGGACCCTGCTGGGTGTCTGGGACCATGCATGCAGGACGTGTCTGTTCTGGCCAGCCTGGGACAGTGGGGCAGGCAGGACCCTGTCCAGGTGTCACTCCAGGGGTGTCCCACACCATGGGACATCAGTGCTGATCATTAACCGCCCTTATCGGGCATTGGGTACAAGGTCCTGGCCAGGGAGGCTGAGTGAGGCTGGGCAGGTATCTGGGAGCCCCGTGAGTGGCTGTTGTTGCCCTCGGTCCTGTCTCACCAGGGCACCGGGAGTGTCCCGGGCCAGGCTCCAGGCTGATGCTTTGTGTGCTCCCTGCCAGCGGGACCGGGACTGGGGTGCAGGACACGGGCACCCCCGTGCTTGCAGACACCCCTGAGGCACCCCAGGCTGGGACAGCCAAGAACGAGCGCCTGCTGCCATCTCATGGCTGCTCACAGCCAGCTCTGTGCTTGCCCTGTCCCGGCCGGGTTCAGAGCCTGTGCACCAGGAGAGTCCCCGCCCGAGGACTTCTGTGAGCTCCCAGCCTGGGAAACTGAGGCCCTGTAGCTCTCACTCCCCCCGGCAGAGGATGCCCTGGCCTCTCCCAACCTGCTGTAACTGTGCTTCCCTTTGCCGGGCAGTGGAACCCTGAGACCTCTTTCAGTTTAAAACAATTGCCACTTGCAAAAAGAGTGAAAACTACAGCTACTGGCAAAAGGTCCCTCTCCATCTTTCTTATAAGCCCGTTTATACATTGAAAGGTTGCAATAAGATATTCCTGGAGCCTTCTCCAGGTTGCACAACAAAAATCTCAGCCTGTCTTCACGGGAGAGGTGCTCCAGCCCCCTGATCATTTTGTAGCCTTGTCTGGCTCGCCTGAACCTGCTCCAACAGGTTCATGTCTCGCACTGAGGACCCCAGAGCTGCTCTGTTTCACGTGGGTTCTCCAAATGTGGAGTAGAGCAGGAGCAACCACCTTCCCTGCCCTGCTGGGCATGCTGCTTATTTTCCAGTCTCAGACGTGATCTGCAAGTGCACATTATTGACTCATTTACTGATCCACCAGTGCCTCTGACTCCTCCACAAGGCTGGTCTCCATCCATCCATCCATCCATCCATCCATCCATCCATCCATCCCACAAACCCGTACTAGGGTCGCCCCGATCTGTGTTCAGGACCTGGCGCTCGGCCTTGTGAAGGACAGGCTGTACCACGGCAGCGACTCCCCGGGCCGGTCCCCGGTGCTCCCCAACCTGCTCGGGACGCGGAGCGGGGCCCCGTTATCCCGGCTCCTTCCCGCTCCCGCCGCTAGGCTGTGCTCCCCGCCCTCGGACGGAGGGAGCGGCGGGGCCGCTGCCAGGGCTGCGGGGGAGGCGGTGCTGGGGGCCGGGAGCGCTCGGTGGATCAGCCCCTCTCAGTCTCCCGGCGGGGATTCCGAAGGGATCAGGCTGGGCCATGGCCCCTCCAGGCCGGAGGATGCCGCCCGGAGCCGGGGACACCGGCAGCTCCCGGGAGGTCCCGCAGCGCGGGGCCAGCCCGGCCTGGCGACAAGCGCGGCAGAGGCGGGAGAGCAAATGCTGTCTTCAGCCGTGGGGATGTGGAGCTGGGGGTGGCAGGTCACATCCTGTGTGTCACTTTGCCCCAGGGATGCTGTGACTGTACTCATGCCACAGAGCCATTGTCAGGTCCGATCTCATCTCCCTGGCAGGACCTGTGCGTGCAGAGTCAGGCACTGTGGGACCCCCTGCCCCTCTGTCCCTCAGCCATCCACCACACGCTGCTCATGGAGGGTCCTGGCTGCTTGTCCTCCTCAGAGGGAGGGTCCCCTCCTTTATGTGACTTTGCAGTGTCACCCAGGAGCTGGAAATCTCTCCCAGAGCTGCATCCACTGACCCCGATTTGCTCTCCCACCAACGGGGGGAGGAAGTGGGGTGTCCCAGGAGAGGGCATCCCTTGACTCATCCCCAGGAAAGCCCAGGCTGTGAGAAGGCTGATCCTGGGACCGAGGACTGTAAACAGCCCAGAGCACTGAACTGGAGATAGCCTGTTACATCAACTGTGTGTCACCACACTGTCACTGCCTGAGTCATGAGCCACGCTGGGGCCAGTGGGGCTGCAAAGGGGGACATGGGGAGATCAAGAGGAATGTGCACAGATCCCAGGTCTGGAGACAGCTGCTCTTCTCTGACACAAAGAGTTCAAGCGGGCCCTCTTGGCCCTCTCCCAAAGGTCCCCTTCCCCTCCTTTCCCTCTGTCTGACCCCTCAGACCTGGGCAGAGGCCTGGGGGCAGCAGAAAGCTTTTGAAACAAAGGGCAAATCAACCAGCATGATGGTGTGTCCCCCATGAACACCATGGAGGGCCCAGCACCTGGCAGAAGGCTCTGATCCAGGCTGCCCCTGCCTTGTGCCCCATGGGACCCTGGTGGGCCAGGAGCTTCCCCCGAGGACGTGAGAGTGGGATGCCGGAGAGAACCCGGGGCTGGCATGCTGTTATCACAGGAGACGGGAGGCAGCCCCAGGCTGCTCTCAAGTGCTCCTGGCTGATTAGTGACTTCAAGTGCCTATGGAGTTATTCTAAGTCAAGTAGGAGCAAAGGGAGCCGACCCGAGAGCAGTGCCGGGCTTTCCTGGAGTTTCCCACATCACCTCTGCTCCCTGCCAAACTCTCCAAGATGGGGAGGTGTCTCCTCTTTTTCCATCTGCTCTCCCTGTCCCTTACTCCTCCTGCAAGAGGCTGTTTGCTCCAGCCTAAAGCAAACCTGATTTTATCTCCTGACTCCAGTTCACTTGGCTGTGGGCCATGGTGGATGCCTCCCACGCAGAGGTTGTGAAGCCCATGCGGGGACCCGTGCACAGAGCGGGCTGTGTGAGCTGTGTGTGCCACATGACATCATGTTTACAGCCCCGGGGGCCCAAGGACAGCGGCATCGCTCACAGCCCAGATATGCGTGTCCTTCCCATGGACGGACAGATGGACGCGTGGGGAGCTGGGGCGAGTGGGACTGGCCGCACACCCATGCCTCCCTGAGGAGCGGTGGTTTCAGCTTTGTTGCTCTGCAAGCCAGTTTCCTTGGCCTCAGTTTCCCCTTTGGCCAGTGGAGAGTGGATTCTGTGCTAGCAGTGAGGGTGCACTGCTGCAGCAGCATGAAGTCAGGCCTTCAAATTGTTGTGCAGCGAGAATGGCAAATTTTCTCCCCTTGGGACGTGGATGTTCCCTTCTCTCCCAGGACACATGCTGTGTGAAACTTAGGTTGTTTGGAAAGAGCAACAATGTCCAGAGTTACAGGCTAAAAAGTGCTGCTAGGGCCTTTTTTTCTCCTGTCCATCTGTCCATCCATCCATCTATCCACACTCGCAAGCAGCTTTCTCACAGCCATCTCTCTATCCATCTCCTGAGCTTTCTGTACACTCATCCATCCATCCATCAACAAATGCATACATTACTCTTCCCATCCAGCCCCCTTACCTGTCCAGCCAGGGCTACCAACCCATCCATCCATCCATCCATCCATCCATCCATCCATCCATCCATCCATCCATCCATCCATCTCCCGCCTGTCAGTGCCTAAGGGATGACCAGCCCTCCCCGGATGTGGTGTGTGCTCACAAGTGTGTGCACATGTGTGTGTGTGTGGGTCATGGCCATGCAAAGTGCTGTGGGTTGTGATGTCCCAGGCCATGTCCAGCCATGGGGCAGGGCCAGGAGTGCTGGCCAGGGGGAGGGGGACTTGTCTAAATTAAGAATGGGCCCTACAGTCGCTGTCAGCACCGGGCTGCTGTCATCTGGGGACAGGTCCTCATCAGCTCTGCTTGCTGCCCGCCAGCCTGACATGAAAGGGCTCTGCACCCCGATAAGGCCCCAGACACTTGGTCCCAGAGGTGGGCAGCACTGTGGCCAGGCCTGGGGACCCCTGAGGAGTAAGTCCTAGCATGGCTGTCCCCAAATTCACTGTCACTTCAGCACCATGTGGCTTGTTTGTTTGCATCAGTTGGGAGCCCAGCCCTGGGGGCCACCCTCCACTTTGAGACCTGGATCATGCCCTGTGTCACCACCATCTCCCACTGGTGACATAACCCCAGGGAGGGCACCATCCTCATCATCCCCCTGGCTGCCACAGGCCTGTCTGCTGGCTGCTACCCTGCACTGGAGTCCCCCAGCTGTGAGCAGCCATGGATGGGGACCGTGTTGTTTTAATAAGATCATTCTGCTCCTGCCGTGAGGTCGCAACCCGGGCTTATGACATCACAGCGCGCTGCCATGGAAATGCCGGGATGTCACAAACACAGCTCGATGACCTCACTGCAGGAGCAGCAGAGGAGGCCAACGTGGGTTTGATTGCCAATGTCCTCAGGAATAAAGGAGGGGAGGGACGCTGGGAAAGTATGCGGCCGCTGAGCGCCGGGGTGTTTGGGTTGGAAATGGCCACGCTTTCCCCACAGCGGGAAAGGCCCATTACTTCCTCCCCTGTCCACTCCCTCCCAGCAGCCAGAGCCCCCCCAGCCTTGTGGCTGTGGGGTAGGAGGGCTGTTGGAGCAGGGCACCCCCATCCATGCCCTTGGGGCTGCATGGCTGGGAACGAGAGACAGAGCTCAGCAAGTACCAGGGCACCAGCCTAGAGCCAGAGGGGGGTCAGTGGGGGGTGCAGCATGGGCCACTCAGGGGATGCTTTGTCTCACAAGCAGGCTGGGGATCGCTGGGGATGCTGTCACAAGAGGCAGAGTGGCCTGGAGTCCAGGGGAGGTCTCCTCTTCCTTAAGAGGACTTCAAAGTCACACTGCTATATGGGGATGATTCCCCAACACAGCACCCTCAAAACTGGACCTCAAGACACCTCTTGGCCCAACCCAGCCACCCAATAACTGTCCCCTCCCCAGCCCGTAACCAACAACTTCTCCTGGGGACCCTAGGCCCAGCTGGGGACCCCACAGCCCCTCTGTCCCCTCACCCCTGCCACAGCTGAGCTCTATGTCCTTTGCCACTGGGAGAAACATGGCTGGTTGGGGGGCACCCGTCCCCCCAGCTCTCTGTTGCAGGGGTGCAGGGGTGCCTGCTCTCCCCCTGCAGTCCCCATCATTAATTTCCATCAGTGGCCAAGTGGGGCCGGGGCTGCCTGGGGGTGGCCGAGGAACACGGCGCTTTCCCCTGATAGCAAAAATAAATACATTAAAATTCTTGCAGGAGGCAGAAGAATGCGGGACGGCAGGAAAAAATTGTTTTATAATTTGTAATAACACAAAAGCCGGGGGGGGGGGGGGGGAGTGCGCTGCGAGAGGCGAGGAAAGGCAGAGACAAAGGATCAGCTGTGATGGTGGAGGCTGCTTCAGAGTGGCAGTGGCATCCCTGTCACCCTGGATTAGTATGACCACTGTCACCTTGTCCCCTGAAGTACGTGTGCCTTTGGGTCTTGTTGCAGAAGGGGAGGAAGCAAGAAAATTACCAGGGCTGAGAGAACAGACAACCACTCCCCACCTGCTCAAGCAGGTCTCAGCATCTCTGTGCCTCAGTTTCCCCTTGCTAAAGGAGAATTCTTATGCAGCTGTGAGAAGAGCTGTGAAATAGAGGCAAACTCCTGGCATACACCCCATCCCAGGTCCTCTGATCCAGACACAGGGCAAGGAGCCCACCTTTGTCCAGTCTGCCCCACAGCCCCTCTAAGGGGGCTTTGCCCTGGGACCCAGGCAGTGGGACCAGCTCCCCTGAGTGTGCTGGGGGCACGGCAGCCCCCCGGCCCCTCCAGCCTCACCGGAGCTGACATGACAAGGCGAGTCGCTGAGCACCAGCCGCACCTGCTCGCCGAGACGGCACCCCCGCCCCCCGCTCCCCTCTTCGGGGCAAAATCAAAGGGATTTTTCTGCCCTTAGGAAATCAGATAAAGGCTTCTCACCTGCCCCGCGCTGCCTTTGCGAGGAGGCCAGGCGCTAGGGGCGGAGGGACAACAGGCACTTTCAACACGCCGGCAGATGAGCCGAGCCGAGCGCTGCCGGCAGGGGCTGGGCCCCTGGGCACGGCTCAGCCTGGCCAGCCGCAGCAGGGATGTCCCCTCTCACCAGCTGCGGTTGTGGACTATCCCCCAAATCAGAGCTTACGGGGCCCCTGTAGGACAGCCAGCATGGAGGGGTGGGTGAAGGAAAAGCAACAGGGACAGGGCATGGTGCAGCAATGCAGCGCCCAGCTCAGGGACTGAGCCCGTGTCCCTGTGTCCCCGTGTCCCCACGCTGTGGCCAGGGCAGCTCAGTGCTAGTCACCATGGCAAGGGTGCAGACCAGGAGCCCATTTCCTGTGTGGGAGGGCAGAGAAGGAGCAGGTGTGAGTCCTCTAGAGGTGGTGGGAGTCTCTTACCTCCTGTGCCCAGGAGGGAGAGAATTGTGCCAAGCTGCTGATAAAGCCTGAGTCATTCACCACCGAATGCTGCTAGCAGGGAGCAGACGTGCCCAGGTGAAGGGATGAAACCACGGGTGATCAAGGCAAGGGGAACATTATGGGCAAGCCAGGGGCTTGAGATGGGCAGGGTATGGGAGGCCATGTGGGGGGACAGAGCACAAATGGCTGCTGGAGGGAGGGCTGATCTCACCAGCAGCAAGGGTGCCCTGCTTTACCCATCACGGGTGGAAGACACTTTTCTTTCCCTTGGGCTAATCCAGTGGGCTGGCTGGTTGCTCCATGGAGCTGGGTACAGAGATCAGGTGAGACTCCCCCAGGGCAGATCCTCTCCCAGGATCCATGGCCCAGAAGCTGCAGGGCTGGGAGCTGATCCCCAACCTCTGCTGGGAGCCATAAATGGTACAAGAGGAATCAGAGATGCAGAGCACTGGACTGAGCTCTGGAAAACCATCCCTGAGGCTCCTCTGTGGGGAGCATTGGTGTGGCAGGCTATGGGCTCCTCCTGTCCCCAGCTGCACAGCCCTTGTGTGGCCCCTTGCTACCTTCTGGGCACGTCAGCTTCCTCCTGCCCTGGCAGCTCCTGCTGCTCCTGCTGTTATGAGCTGGTGTGGGAACTGTGTCTCCTCTGGGTCCCCAGCACCTGAAAGGAAAACACCATGAGCAAGATGTCCCTCACCACCAGGAGAATAGTAACTCCTGGTCTCCTTGCTCCTAGGGCTGGCTCCATCATTCTCCTGCGTGTCCCTCTGCCCCAGGTGTGTCTCTCCAGAGTGCTGGAGCTAAATGTGGGGAGATGCTTGTGAGGGGTCACTCCTCCAGCTTTCCCAGGTGGGACAGACTGGTCCGAGGACAGGCAGGGTCATGGAGCCAGGGTTGTGCCAGGCGAGCCCAGGCAGGGACAGGGGCCGGGCAGGGCTGTGCTGGGGCAACACGGGGGCGCCAGGTTTGGGCAAGGCCACGCCAGGGGTGTCAGGGTCGTGCACGAGTGTGACAGGAAGGTGTCGGGGACACCTCGAGGCCAGGCCGGGTTTGACAGGGCTGCGGCAGGACCCCGAGTGGAGCCGGGCAGGGCTGTGCCAAGCAGGGCTTTGCCAGGCAGGTCCGCGCCAAGCAGGTCCGCAGCAGGTCCGGGGCTTCGGGGGCAGGGCTGTGCCAGCCAGATCCGCAAAAAGGGCTGCACATTCACACATTCAAACGCGGCGGCAGGACGCGGGGCCAGGCGGGCTGCGGCCACCGTCCTCTCCCGGAGAGTGCCCGTGCCCGCATCGCGTCCGTGGCTCTGCGCTGGGAACGGAGCCTGGCACCCGGGAGTCCCCCCGCCCGGCCCGCCCTGTCCGTCCCCCGGGCTCCGGTTTCCCTGTCGGAGCAGATGCTTTCGCAGCCCCGTCCCTCCTCCTTCTCCGGAGCAGCCTCCGCGCCGCGCTCCAGCCGCCCGGAGGTGCCTGCCCAGCCCAGCCCAGCCCAGCCCGGCCCGGCTCGGCCCGGACGGCCCCGCCGGCCGCGCTGCTGCCCGGCCCGGCCCGGCCCGGCTCGGCCCGGCGGAGGGAGACAGTGGGCACCCACCCGCCGGGGCCCCGGCCGGACCTCGGGGGTGCCCGGCTCCCGGCCAGCGGCGTGGAGCGAGTTCGACGCTTTCCTCAGTCCTGGCAGGATGCTGCCTTCCTCCCGGACCCAGCTGGGGCTCTTCTTCATCCTCCTCTGCCCCGCTAACATCATCGGGCTCTGGTGGTGAGTAGGACATCCCGCGGGGGGAAGCAGGAGGGCGCGCAGGGTATCTCGATCTCCGGGGGCTGTCTCCCCCAGCCTGGGGACAAAAGAGTCCCCTGCACCCAGGCACCACTTGGGTTGGAATTGCTGCTCGCTGGCTGCCCTGGTCCAGGCCGGGGCACCCACATACTGTCAGCGTTTGGGCACACAAGTGTGCTGGAGGCAGCAGCTGGGGGATCCCCAGGAGTACAGGGTGCACGGGTCCTGTGGTGAGAGCTGCACTTTGCCTCCCCGCATCCCCAGCCCACTGCCTGGGAAGCTTGCATGCCTGAGGGGTGGGCAAGGGGGCTTAGCGGCTTCCAGACCCCTTCAATAAGTCAAATTTAATTAAAAGCCTTAGGGTCCCTACAGTGTCCCCCCTGAATGGTGGCCCGGACACAGCAGGGACAAAACCCCTATTTGTAATGGTGCCCTCATCAAAGGCAGAGACGGTGCCTTGCAGGATACCAGAGGGGGTGGGGGATTCATTACAGGCACAGAACTGGGACCCAGCCTTGGAAAGCCCAGGTATCTGTCGAAACATGAACTATTTAAATCTATTAAGAATTTCACCCAGCCTGTCTTTATCCGGTTTTAAGTGCTTAGATTCCAGCTCCCCGGCGTGCCGTCCGGGCTATCATTCATTATCTGAGGCTATTCGTCTCCACATTGTCACACTCTTTTGACCCCTAAAATAAAGCTCTCCATAAGCCTTTCCCCTCACAGTGCCCTGCCTGCCCACCAGTGATTTATTCCACATCTCCATTCCCTCTGCTAGCCCTGGCTCCAGGGCTGCACTGGGGATCTTTGTGAGAGTAAATGGTGCTGTTACAGTCACTTGTGCATCAGCTGAGAGTTTGTCCCTGGAGCCCAAGCGTTGAGTTTATTGCCAGGCAAGGGTTTAGCATGGGGCTGAGAGGGACTTGCCTTGGGTTTTTGTGCTAGAAGAGGGGAGGGTGAGGCAGGGCAAGCCTGGCCAAGGCAGGGTGCTTGTGGAGGGGCTCCATGCTCCGTGCCACCCAGATCAGGGTAGCTGTGCCATTGCAGGGCATGTGCCATCCTGCTGCTGTTTCTTCCTGGCCAATTCTCAGACACACACAGAGCTGTCCCTTCAGCTGTCCATGCTTTCCCTGCCCCATCCTTACCAATATCTCCAAGTTCATGGTGCTGTACTCCAGTTTTGAGGACATCTGCCCATGACTGGAGCAGGTAAAGGGGAAGCAGAAGCTCATTTTGCTGTCATTTCAGGGGCAGGCAGACAGCACCAGCCAGGGCAGGGTAAGGGGTACCAGTGTCCCTTGCTCCAGGTGCTCAGAACTGCATCCCCCCATGGAGTCTGGGTCCTGCTGGTGCCATGTGTGCACAAGAGCAGTGACTGCAGGAGATTAGCAGGATTTGGCAGAGGAGGGCAAGGGGTCAAACTTGCTTTTTCTTCTTTTAAAAAAAGAAGAAGAAGAAAAGGAACCTTTATTTTAAGAAAAATAACTCAGCTGCCTGATGCACAGCAAATGCACTGGGCAGTGGAGTGGCTTCAGGGGGATCACCAGCTCACTCTGCTTCACTCTGGAGCCAGAGAGCTGGGAAGGGATGGTGGGTGAGTGAGGCCACCAGCACTGCCAAACAGATGTGCCAGGCTTCCTGGGACCGGGCAGAGGAGCAGCTGGGTGATTCATGAACTGCTTCTCTCAGAGTTTGGTGTTTTGGCCCCTGGCTGAGATGATCTCAGGGAGCCCTTCCTGTATGGGGCAGAGGAGTCTGGGCACTCATGACAGGCATCTCCCGTGTGCCTGCTCCTGTTCTGGTCCCCTCTCCCCGGTCTGGGTAGCACTGGTGTCAGTGGGTTTTGCTGTTGGTGGGAAGGGGTTCAGGGGAGCAGCTGTGTGTTGTGCCAGAGCTCCTGGAAGCCCCAGGACTGGCGGCATTGATAGAGCAGTTCACTATCACTGATGCATGGGGACTTTGGTGGCACACATTTGTGTGTGCATCACTGGGCACTTGTGGGTGCTTAGCCAAGGTGCTCAGCCATTTTCCCCTGGCCAAGAAAGAAATGTCTTTACAATTTCCCCATCCCACCCCTGAGTACATTATCTGTGTGCTGGGGGGGATACAGGGGCTGCCTGTTTAAGCCAGCATTTTCCCCCACTGATGTCTTAATTTCTGAGAGGGCTGGGCTGGATCTCAAGATGCAGTCCCAGCCCAGGCAAGCAGCAGGGCCTGGCCACTCACAGGTGGTAACTGTGCCCATTGGGATCCTGGCACATGGCTGCATCTATGGAAAAAGAATTAGGTGTGGTGTACAAGCACCGACACCCTGCTAGTGACACTGTAGCCTGAGAAAGGGCATCCCCATTGTGTGAGGATGTCCCCAGAGAGCTCACTGAAGACACACACCTTCCCATGGCAAAAGGGAGCAGGCTGTGGTCAGTGCCAATGGAAGATATGTCACTCACGTGCTGCTGGCACCTTGATTAGTGCCAAGCTGCAGGGAGTAGGCTCTCCTTGCTCCCAGCGGCTCTGTAAATCCTCTTTCTTCCTCCTCCCCTATTCTTTACACATTTCTTGCTCAGCTCCTTGTGCAACAGTGATTTCTCCCTGAGCAGAACAGGTAGGGACTGCCTGGGGCTCCTGGGCTGGCCCAGAGGCTGCAGAGATACAGAGCAGGCAAACTGAGTGTCTGAGGAGCCCCAGGCAGGTTCAGGGCAGGGTTTCAGCCAAGCCGGTTTGCAGGAGCGCAGAGGCACTCTGGGGATGGGGGCAAGCAAAACCAGCTCCCCTGGTGCCTCTTGGCTCTCCACGGGCATGCTGAGAGCAGCTGGGAGATGGAGGGGAAAGCAAGGGAGAAAATCATCCCAGCTGAAATGTGCTCTGCTCCAGCTGTGGGTCTGAGGGGGCCCAGAGGGACGGACACCTGCGCTCCATCCCCTGCCCATCCATGCACGAGGGCAGTGCACCTCCAGCTTCTCTTCAGAGGTGCTCAGAGAGGACCTCTCTCACCAGCCCCTGTGGCTGTACCCTTGCTTGAGGGGTCCCAGTCCCATGTCCCTCAAACCACACACCTGTGTGACCACCCAGCAGTGTTCTCTCCTCTTTCCCTGCCCAGCTCCCCCAGTGCAGGGCTAGAGCCTGTGAGGGCAGGCTGCTGGGCTGGAGGGCCCTGCCTTGGGCTGAGCCTTGTGAGTCACTCCTGGCCCTGCTGACCCACAGCTGCCACCCCACGGCTGCCCAGCCTTCCCCAGCATGCCTTCTGCCCTGGGGCAGCACCATATGGGCAGGAATGAATCTGCCACGGGGAGAGCCCCTGCCTGATGCCATCTCCCTGTGCCCTTGCTGGGGCAGCTGCTGACCTGCTGGGCTTTTCAATGGGACAATGTTTCTCTTGCACCCTTTGAGATGACTACTGGCTCCAGCATTGGGTGACTTGTTTTCTCCCACAAGGCAGCTGAACTTTCCCCAGTGCCATTCCTTGTCCCTGCTCCTGGTCACATCCATCTCCCATGGTGACACACAGGCTCCCTGGACATGGGAGATGTGCCCTACTCATGCCCACAGCTGGAGGATTTGTCTGGCCTTTGCATCAGAACCTTGAGTGCTTCAAACCCCCCTCGCGCAGGAGGGTACTGGGCACACCCTGACATCTGCTCAGGATTTGCAGAGTCCCCCCACAACATGTGGCACCCACATCTGGGCATGAACTAGCCAAGCCCTCATGCTACCCCAGCTCCAGCCTCTGCCAGCACCCAGAAGGAGGCAGTGACCATGAGTGAGTGGACTTCTTTCCTCTTATCCCAGCCCTTCCAGGGTTTGGACATGGCCTTAAGACCACCACCTCTGCAGATGGATGCTCCCTCCATCCCCCCAGTACCTGCAGCACAAGTTTGGGCAGCTCCTGCTCACGACAGCCTGGCCTCAGCATGATCCTGCAGCCAGCAGGTCCATGGCTTGGTGCAATGCCATGCCAAAGCCTCGATCCTTTAGGCAGCTCCCCAGCTGTTTGCAGCCATCCTTGCCAAGGAGATGTAAGGAGGAGGGCGGGGAATGGGGGTCCCCCTTCTCTTCCCAACCCATGGCATTTCCTGCTGCCTCAGTGCCCCGGGTGCTGCTCGGCAGCCAAGCCCTGGCTGTGCCCCCCGGGGCAGTGACTTGCTGCTTACTCACCACACCCCCGTGGGCTCCTGCTCTGGCTCCACACCCAGTGCCCTGGTACTGGCAGCACCCAAACATGCCCTGGGTGAGGGGCTGGGTGCCCACCACATGCCTGCATGGGCTGAGGGAAAGCTGGGTGGGTGAAAATTCTTCTGTGGGTTCCCCTTGCCCTGTTTGCACAGCTGGGAAAGAGACAGGCTCCCTTTGGGTGTGACTTGTCACACAGTGTGACATCATTGTGTGGGGTGTGAGGTGACCCATGTCCCCAGGGATGGAGGTCAGGTGTCCAGGGCTGTCACCCTGCAGTTCTTACCTCTCCAGGTGGGTGCAGAATTACCTGTGGGCTCAGAGTGCTGACCTGGGTACCCCAGTACCTACATCACCCTGCTAAGGGCTTCCAGAGGCTGGGACAGAGACCTGTATGCGAGGCAAGATGCAGCCTTACTGCCCTAGAGCAGATCCCCCTGCCCCACAGGAGTGCCCAGGCAGCAGTACCCAATGGGTGCAGGCCTGTCAGATCCCACATGGAGCTGGCATGGCCCAGCCACTGCTCTCCTGCAGGTGTGACTTTTGAAAGCTGACTGTCCTCCTCCTCACTGCGTAGCTCTACTGGCCTCACTGCCTTGGCTTCCTGCAAACCAGGACCCTGCTGGTTCCCCTCCATAATGGTCTGCTGGCAGGGAGCAGAAGTCCTGCTCCACATCATCCCCATGCCCAAGGAGAAGATGGTGACCCGTCCCAGGCTCCTTGGTCCATGATTTTGGCTGGGAATGAGAGTGGGACATAGTGGAAGTCCCATGACCATGAGCTGAGCTGTGGAAAATGGTGATTGTATCTCTGGGAACCCCTGTCTCTGTTGCAGCAGGCACAGCATCCAGAGCACAGGGGTTGCATCAGAAGCCCCAGTGACTCCTGTTTGACGTGTGTCACTGGGACTGGGCTCAGGCTGTGGCTGTGGCAGCTAAGGGCTGACAGCAGCAGGTGGGCAGTGGTTTGCAGCCCTTTGTCTGTGCCTCAGTCTCCCCTTTCAGCAGTGGGGGCTGTTTCCCTTACACAGGGCTGCGGGAGGTTGGATAGTGGGGCTCACCATCCCACTGGCTTTTGGGCCCGCCAGAGCCCCCAGCAGCAGCTCTGGCAGGCAGCAAAGGGCACAGGGGCAGGCAGCAGGGATGCTCAGTGCTGCTGATCCTGGCTGGGGTCTCTAGGCAGGGGCCGGGGTGCCCCAGGTGAGGTGTGGGGAGCCGGGCTGGCGACCCTGCTCCTTCACCAGGGCAGGGGGAGGAGTGCCCGGCAGCAGAGGTGGGGCACCTTAATTGTAGATGCGGGAGGCCTTGGAGCGGGACAAGCTCAGGCAGATCTGGGCCCTGCGCCGGAGCCCTTGCCAAAGTGGTAGCAGTTTGGCAGCATTTTTCTTGCCCTTGTCTCCCCCCATTCTCCCCCGCTCTAAACCCTCCAAAGCAAAACAGCTCTCGGGCTCCCGGCAGCCTCGCCGTGCCAGAAAGTGGAGCCCAGCGGAAATTAATATCGCTCTGGACTTAGGAGCCCACCCCAGCCTGGCCGGCAGGGACAGAGCTGCTGCTCTCCCGCCAGCCTCGCCGCCGCCTGGACCATGGGTGGGGACCCCCGGTGAGGCGCCCATCGCCCCCAGACCCGCGGGGCTCAGCTCTCCTTCCTGGCCTGATCCAGCGGGCCGGGGTGAGCCACAGTTCAGCATTTGATCTGGCGGCCCCGGGGGCTGGAGCATCGTTTTTATATGAGTACAAAGAGTCGTCTCTTAATGAAAGTCCCATCCCGGCTCCCCCTCTCCCCCACTCCAGCGGCGGGGGCAGCCAAACCTCCGCCATCCTGCGGTGGCCACAAAGGACAGCAAGCTTGGGGACCAATATGGAGGCTTGGATCCCTCTGTGGTCATCATGGGATGGGTCTGGACAGATTTTCTGGTCACATTCCACGTGGGCCTCAGTTTCCCCATCTGTGGAGGACCTGGACCAGGCAAGCTCTGCAATGCTTCCCCAGCTGCCCCATCTCTTTGCAGAGGTCCATGTGAATCATGCAGCAAAAGAAACTGAGCTGCTGGGAGCAAAGGGAGATGAGTTCTCCCTGGCAGGAGTGTGGGATTGACTCAGTTTCCCTGCTGGAAGTTCCCTTTCCAGGCTGTTTGTTGAGCTGTTTAACCTTTAAACCTCCAGTGAAAGCATAAGGGCTCCTTTTCCAGGCTGTGTGAGAGGGCACATCCTCTCCAAGCCAGCTGGGGTCTGGTAGGCTGGAGATCCAGGCAGCTGGGGAGCTGACATGAATCAGGGGGATCCTGGCAGGGCTTTGAGCTTCAAACAAGGGGCTTGGAGGGGGTTTGCACTGGGGACAGGATTGCAAGCAGAGAAGTGCAGCCTGGTGTCCCAAACACAGCCCCCCAGCTGCACGAGAGTGAAAAGGAAACCCAGAACACAGTTAAACACTGAGATTCAGCTTGTGATTTTTGAGCCCCTGGGGCTTGGCCAGACTATAAAGCTCTGGGTTTGGAAGCTGTGCAGCTGATGCTCTCCAGTGAGTGGGGCTGAAGGCAGCACGGGCCGCCCAAGCACTGCTCCCCAGGGAATCCCAGGGATTGTAACCCTCCCAATCATCAGGCATATCCTGATCCTGGGGTCTGCTGGGTCCAGCCCTGAGCTTCTGTGGGCATCCATGGCCATGAAAATCATGTTGTTGAGCGGGATGATGAGCCCACAGGAGCAGCGCTGGAGGCGGGGGTGGGCTGAGTTTAGGCTGTGCTGAATTGGTGTGGCCCACGGCTCCGGAGCTGCCCGTGGCAGAGCTGGAACACGGCCCGTGCCAGCACGAGGCAGGGCGCTGGAGGCTGCGCAGCTGCACCGTGGAGGGCACTCCAGGCAAAATGTGTGGGGAAAGTACAGGAGTTTCTGTAGCCCATGGCACACCGGGGAGCACAGCACCGCGCTCAGACTTTGCCTTCGGGGCCAGGGAGTCAGGCACCTCACGCCAGCTGTGCTGGCAAGGAGGAGCTGCCTCTGACGTGGGCCCAGCCAAGACTTGCCCTCCCTCGCTGGCATTGGCAAAGCTGGCAATGCCATCTGCATCCCTCCCTTGCACTCCCGCAGCCGCCTGCGGCTCCGTTCCCTGGAGTCAGGGCCTGGGTTTGGGAGGTGACTACAGGATCCTGGCCAGCAGCCGAGGGCCTTTATCAGAAGCAAGGTCACTCTTCTTGTCTCCCACGGGGTGAAGCAGCGAGAACCCGTGGAGAGGGGGAAACACACCAAGATTCTTGGCTGGGCTCCTTGTTGTGTCCACAGCTCTGGGAGACGCAGCTGCATCGGGCATCAGTCACATGGCAACGCCAGGGCTGGGTCAGGTCAGTGCCAGCCCCAAAGAGCAGGTGCTGAGTAGCACAATATTTCTGCCATCTCCCTTGGGGACACCACCATGAATGTCTCCAAGGATGTAGAGTGGTTAAAGCCTGTCCCACAGTAGGAGATCCCCCCAGTTCCCCAACGGATGGACAGGGCAAGGTATTGCCTGGGTGAGCCACCCATCCCTATTGTCCTAGCCCCACTGCATATGTCTTTCTGTCCCCTTGTCGCCCGGGCTCAGCATGGAGCTGGCACTGCCCCACAGCCTTGCTCCATCCCTGGGGGTAGGGCTGCTCGTGTCCCACCCACACCCTGGTCTCTGCTGGGCTTGGGTGCTGGTTTTGCTCTGCTCGCTGTCCCCTCCTGCAGGGCAGTGGGGAGCCCCCTGGTCATGGACCCCAACAGCATCTGCCGCAAGACGAAGCGGCTGGCGGGGAAGCAGGCAGAGCTGTGCCAGCTGGAGCCAGAGATCGTGCAGGAGGTGGCCAAGGGCACCAAGCTGGGCGTCCGGGAGTGCCAGTACCAATTCCGCTTCCGCCGCTGGAACTGCACCAGCCACAGCAAGTACTTTGGCAAGATCCTGCAGCAGGGTAAGGCCAGCGCTTCCTCAGCTTCCCGTTTCCCAAAAGACCCCAGCTTGGGGAAGCACCTCCCCGGGGCTCCTGGAGGAATCTTGGCGTGCAGAGTTGTGTGTGTGTGTGTGTGTGTGTGTGTGTGTGTGTGTGCAGGGGGTTGCTCAGTGCTCCCCGGTGCAGTCACGCCGAGGTTTTACTGCCAGGACATGTCTCCCTGTGTTGTAATGAAGCAATTACCAATGCTCCCAGACAGCGCGGGGCTTCACGAAGCCCAAGAATGCACCCTCGTCTGGCAGTGATTTACTGCTCCCCCGGGACCCCAGGGTGTGCTGTGGGAAGGGGCCCGGCTGGGAGGCAGTGTGCAGCCCTTGGGAGCTGCCCCCCACACGTGGGTGCCCTTCACATCCCTCCTCCTGGCCTTGCAGGCAGCAGAGGAGTGTTTGTCTCCTGTCCCTGTCCCTGTCCCTGTCCCTGGATGGGCATCCTGGTGTCACCCTGAGGAACAGGGCTGGGTGGCAAGAAGGCTTGTGCAGGTCTCAGGCAGTGGGTACAGCAGTCCAAGCCAGGCCCAGCTTCCCCAAAATCAGAGCAGGGGCAGAGCAGGAGGGCACCCGTGAGTGTGTGAGGGATGGGAAATCCCTGCCATGCTCCTCAGGGAGAGTAGCTGGGAGTGGATGGTGCTCCAAGCAAGAGGGGCTGCTTGAAACTCCTTGGGCTGGTAGGATCACTTAATGGGAAGTGAGTTTAGCCCTGTCCCTCTTCCCATGTTGGTCCCTGTGCTATGGCAGATGAAGATGCTGGAGCAAGCCCCGGTCTCCTCAGCCATCGCATCTGTTGGTGCTTGGCCAGCCCAAGGCAAGGTGGATATGTCCATGGGCCATGCAGGGGGGTGAAGGTGGCATCCCTGGGGGGATTGGAGAGGGCGGGGTGCCTTGGGCACCCAACTGACTGCTGATACTGGTGGGGGTCAGAGCTGAAGCCTCAAGGGAGACACTGGCCCATGGGAGAGGAATAGGCTCATTAAAAAGCTGATTTGCGGATGTGGGTTCCCCCCAACACAGGGAGGTGTATTCAGCCAAGAGGCAGAGAGGGCACATGGGAGACTCTCCTGCCTCTGGAGTCACCTATTGTCACCATAAACTGGCAGTGAGGCAGGTGGGACCTGTGCCAGGCAGGGATCTGCTCTGGAAGTGGGCCGGTGCCAGAACGCAGGGCCAGACCAGGTGGGGATTGAAAGGCTCTGGCAGATGAGCTGCTGGGTACCCAGGAACAGCTCATGTTGGAGGAGGCACAGGCACATCAGGCATGGGGATGCTGAAGGAGCCACCACGATGGTGGTGGTTGGTCCAGCCTCGATGCTGGGGTGCTGGAGATAAGCAATGTTTTAGGGACAGTGGTGAGTTTGAGTCCCTGGCATTCTGAGGACATGGGGCATCCCAGCTAGAGGTGTTGAGTTCCCCAGGGCAGCAAGGTGGGTGTCAGAAGCCTTCAGAGGTGCAGGGACTCCTGCAGGGACTGCACAAAGTATCTCACCATTTTCGGAGTTCCAAGCTCCATCAGATGAATACCACCCATTCCAATATCCTTTTCTGTCCAAGGATGCTGCAAACCTCTCATTCCTGGCCATGGCCTTCGTGGCACAGTCATGGCTGTCCCCTCTTCCCTTGCTGCCACCTGTGCCAGGTGTGGCATGCCAGGGCAGGCTGGCTTGGGGGCAGCCACGTGTCTGGAGGAACTGTCAGAGGAGCGGCATCCCCCCAGGGCCCGGCTGGCAGGGTGGCATGGGGACCTCTGCCAGCTTTGGGCTGTCTGCTGAGGGTTCTGCCAGCCCCAGGTGGGAGCAGGCGGGTGGTCGGGTGGGCCCGGGGAGGGGGTGGTACCCCCTTGGTGGCACTGCCAGAAAGGCACCGCTCTGCCCAGCTCCTGCTCACACCGGAGGGATGCAGGTGCTGCGTGGGCTTTTGGAAGAGCCGCTCATGGAACTGGTGCCCTGCTATCCCTCTTCCTGCAGCCTCCCCACGTCAGAAGATGGAGGGATGGGACACCCCCCAAACCCCCCCGTCCCCTCCCTGCCCAGGAATCCCCTGCAGGCCAGCCCCTGGGCCAGCCCTGCCCTGGCATCCGGGCGGGCAGGAGCGGGGCTGGCACGGCGCAGGGGGCGCGGAGCCCCCCGAGCAGGGCGCCGCACCCCTGCCGCCAGAATCCCCCGCTGGCTGCGGCTGCGAGCGGCAGGTCCGGGCAGGGGAAAGATGCTTGGAATTCGTGTCCCGGAGCAGAGAGAGACAGGAGCAAATACTAATAATAAATAATCCTGCAGGGTGGAGGCTGTGCCGGTGCAGAGGGGGGGGCGGGCAGCTCCCCATGGCAAAGAGGGTGGTGGGGGGGGAGAGCAGGCAGCACAGCTTCATCACTGCCGCCCTGCAGAGGGTGAGTGGCACCCTCGGTATCCCTCGCAGTGTGCCCTTCCAGGTGCCAGTTTGGAGACTGGGTTGGGATTTTTACTGTTTGGAGGGAAATTGCAGGGTAGTGTGAGGAAGCTGTGGGTACCGCCTGGTCATCTGGGACCACCCTCTGCTCTCTGATCTTCCCTCTTTGCTATGGGGCAGCACCCAGACTTTCAGGGGAGGTGGGAGATCTGTTGCATCTCCACAGCTGAGTGCAGGAACACTGGCAGGGCCTGACCATCCCCCAGAACCTTCAAATCTGCTCGCAGGAGGCATCTCCTGCTCCAGGCAGCCCGTTCCAGGGTGGGTGCATCGCCCAGGGAACAGCACTGAGCACATGTGAAGAGGGAGAACGGGGAAGCCCCTGGGATGTCAGCCAGGGGTGGTGCTTTGCTAGCTGGAGCTGACCCCCCATCCCAGCCCTGTCTGTTCTCCTGTTCTCCTGCAGATATCCGTGAGACAGCCTTCGTGTACGCCATCACGGCGGCGGGAGTGAGCCACGCCATCACGCAGGCCTGCAGCATGGGCGAGCTGCTGCAGTGTGGCTGCGAGCTGACGCGGAGCCGGGCGCCCCCCTCGCCCACGGCAGGGCCGGGCACAGAGGGCACCGCCTGGGAGTGGGGCGGCTGCGGGGATGATGTGCAGTTTGGCTACGAGAAATCCCAGCAGTTCATGGATGCCAAGAACAAGAAAGGCAAAAATGACATCCGAGCTCTTATCGACCTGCACAACAACGAAGCCGGGCGCTTGGTAAGGCCCCTGCACTCCCTGTCCCCCGCAGCCCTTGTGCCCCTGCCCAGCCCTCCACCTCCAGTGTCCCCAAGTCGTGTACCTGCACCAGCTTTGGCTGAAATATTACCCAATATCTTTTGGGAATCCTTTGCAGGTGCTTTGGAAACCCCTGGGCCTCTCTCCACCCCCACCCCTCTCCCAGGCCAGGGCAGCAGCACGGGGCAGGGTTTTGGCTGGGGGTGCTGGGCAGGGCCCCGAGGGCTGAGCATGGCTGTCTCTCCCTCAGGCAGTGCGCAGCTACATGAGGACAGAGTGCAAATGCCACGGGCTCTCGGGCTCCTGCACGCTGCGGACCTGCTGGAGGAAGATGCCCCATTTCCGCGAGGTGGGCGATCGCCTGCTCGAGCGCTTCAACGGGGCCTTCAAGGTGATGGGAGGCAACGACGGCAAAACCCTCATCCCTGTGGGCGACAACATCAAGCCTCCCGATAAACAGGACCTCATCTACTCAGCCGACTCGCCTGATTTCTGCTCGGCTAATCGTAAGACGGGCTCGCTGGGCACCAGGGGCCGCGTCTGCAACAGCACGGCCATGGACACGAGCGGCTGCGACCTGCTGTGCTGCGGGAGAGGGCACCGGGACGAGACGGTGGTGCTGGAGGAGAACTGCCTCTGCCGCTTCCACTGGTGCTGCGTGGTGCAGTGCCGCAAGTGCTCCGTCCGCCAGGAGCTCAGCCTCTGCATCTGACGGCCCGGGGTCAGGCGAGGACAATTTGGGAGGCCACCTCCAGGCTCACAGGGCCCCCCGGGACAGAGACAGGTGGAGCCGGGGGCAGGGTCAGCGTGGGTGAGCTCAGCTCTGCGCTCTGCGGAGTCCTGGTTTCCCCAGAGGGCAGCACGGGGCTGCCTGGCACCCCCATGGTCCCCGTGGCACAGAGCTTCCATAATAAAGCTATTTAAAGCCGTATGCCACAGAGCTTCCTGGGGAGGGCTGAGAAACGCTGACCACTGTACTGGAGTGGGATTTACCAGAGAGCTGCCTTGCCCCAGCTGTGAGTCGCAGTCAGTCACACTCCTGCCAGCACCTAGCCCTGCTGGGACCTGTAGTGAAGTCCAGCTCATTTTTTATCTACCCTCTGTTTTTCTCTGTGGTTGTCAAGCCTGGAGATGTGTGTGGATGAGGGCGAGTGCTCTCCTGCCCTGCTCTGCTGCTTCCAGTGTGTGAGTGCTCTCCTCCCATCACCCACAGCTGTCAGTGCTTGGGGTGCCCGTTTGTGTCCTGCCACCATCTGACCTGGGATGTTTGCAGTCCATGGTGCCTCCACTCGTGCCTCATGCCTGAGGTACATCTAGCTGCCCTAACACTGTGCTGTTGTGCTCTGACTTTCTCGAGGGGACCCTGTATTCTTTTCACTCCATCCATGTCACTGCAGTCCCCGCTGCAGAGCCTGGCACACAGAAGCCCTGGACAGCGCTGACACTGTTGGCTTGGTGGCATGCAAGGCATTCACTTGGCATGCCATGGGCCACGTGCAACCCCACCTGGGTGGCAGGGTGCCAGGCATGTGTGTCTTTATAACCTGATCAGCCTGTGCCCCTCATGGACAAACACAGGGTGAGGAGCAGCCTGCCTGGCTGCCCAGCAAGGCAAGCTGCCAAGCCTCTGTTCCAGGGGCTCCAGGAATCTCTGAGGGGGTCCCTCCCATGCTGCAAGGAGCCCACAGGAACTGGTTTCTCCAGGGTTACCCAGCACAGGGGTTTAGGTAACTGCAGGGTGGAATGTGTGTGTGCAGTGCCTGCTCAGCTGGCAAGGCCCACTGGGCTGAGGACCCCCAGAGGGCAGTCAGCAGGATGAGAGCCTGGGCAGAGGCCCACACTCCTTTGCCTGCCCTCCACACTGCAGCAGTGCTGCACACTGGGGGCTTTCCTGTACGCCCCTCTTCAGGAGAGCTTTAAACTGAGATGGCTGAAGTGGCAATGCCCCATGTGCTGGGTACTGCCAGGCAGGGTGAAAGCAGAGCTCACAGTGCTGGGCACACTGCAAGGCAGGGGAGGCTGCATGGGGTGCTGGGGATGCCCCCCAGTGTGCCTTCCTCGCCTGCCCCACCCCAGGCAGCCAGCAGGGAAGGGCAGCAGAAGCACGGTGCTGGTGAACCATTAACTTAGCCCAGCAATCATTAGGGAGGAAGTCTCTAAATCTGTTAGCTGCAGCTTTGCAGCTGGAAATTCTCTTCTGACTTGGCCACAGTGGTGCTGGGAGAAGGGAGGCACACAGGGCTCCCGGGAACTCCTGTGGGAAAGCCCACCCACAGGAACACAGGGGTGGGTGTGAGCAGGGTAGGGTGGGTGCTGGTGAAGGTACCTGTGCATGCAAGCAGCTTGGTGTGTGTGCATGCACAGGTAGCATGTTTGTGCTTGTTCATACGTGTGCATGTGAGCTTGTATCACCCTCACTGTGTGTGTGAGCCCCTCGTGGGTGTGTAAATAGGTTGGCCTGTGTGTTTTCCTGCATCTCTATGAATACACAGCAAATCGCCAGTGTGTGTGACTGTGACACTGTCCCACATGTGCCTGTGTGAGAGTATGTTTGTGTGTCATATTATGTATCTTCAGGTGTGTCTGGGACAGGGAAGACGTGTGTGGGTGCAAAATGGTCCTCCAGGAAGGGAGCTGGAGAGTTGCAGGAGCTGTGTGCTGGAAGATGTGCAGAGCTGTTCCATAGGCTCTGCAGGTGCCTCTGAATTGGATGCACTTGAGCACACCCCATGGCCTGGACTGCCTGTCAGGAGAGGTCAGTTCAGACAGGTCCTGTGAAACTTTAGGTCACTCCTGCTGTCCTCTGGAACCATAGCTGACACCACCTATAGAGGGATTCTGAAACTCTCTGTGAGGTGTTCAGAGTCTGGGCTCCAGCCTTCAGCAAGTTCCTTCTCTGGATTCTGTCTCAGCTCCCCCACAATGGGCTGCTTTCATGCTGCATGGACATGGCTCTGGAGATGTGGCAATGGATAAACCCCTGAGAAGACATTCAGTACTTTTGAGTAAGGCATCTGACCTGTGTCCTCTCTGCCATTGCCCCAAATCACAGCTCCTGAAGGATGGAGATCACAGAAGCCAAAAATGTGGAGGGGAAGTGCACGGTCTGTGCTTGTGGGGTAACGCCTCTGCACATCCACGAGTTACCTCTGCACTGTGTCTGTGAGCTTCCCATGGGTGTGCAAACCACTTGGGCTGTGTGTCTTGTTCTCTGTCCATCTGGGGAAAAGGGGCAGCTCTTGTGGGGGCTGACAGCTCCTTACTGGAGCTCCCTACTGCTCTTGATCTGGCAAAGCCAATTCCTTTCCCTCGATAGCCAGGAGAAGCCCTGACACAGGCAAATGCTGCCAGCAGCCTGTCAGGGTCTGGACTGGCCCAGTGGTCTGGAGAGGGCTGAACAGCCAGCAGAGGCCCCTAGAAATCTCCGAATTCTCTAGACCTCCACAGCTCCCCAAGAGCTCCCCATCCAATAGGACCTCACCCCAGACTCCCAACACACCCCAGCAGTCCCTCAGGGCAGTTACTCTCCCCATGTCCCCAGAAGTGCTCCAGGAGTCCCTCAGATTCCTAGAAGTCCTGCAGCCCTCCAGGCCCCCAGGAACCTGCGGAACCCCTCAAACCCAGCCTGAAGAACCCCTCAAGCCCTCCCGGCCTGGGGGCAAAGCATCCCCGCCGTCGCTATGGCAACCCGGGATGCGGAGTGGGCAGAAGGAGACCGCCAGGGGGCGCTGCGGCACGGCACGGGGGACATGGAACGGGATGGGATGGGATGGGATGGGATGGGATGGGATGGGACGGGACGGGACGGGACGGGATGGGACGGGATGGGATGGGATGGAAGGATGCATGGGGAACATGGGAGTGGGAATAGGATGGGGTGGGATGGAGAGATGCACAGGGAATGTGGGAGTGGGCACAGGGTTTATTGGTGAACATGGCAGTTTGATGTTTACAGTTGGACTCCATGATCCTAGAGGTCTTTTCCCACCAAAATGATTCTGTGGCTCTGTGAATGTGGCTGTGTGTGGGGGCTCGTGGAGATTCATTGGGTTGTGCAAGTGGCTGTGCTTGGGGTGAACGTGTGGGGTGTGAGTGTGTATGGGTGTGCATGGCAGAATGGGCACAGGAGTGGATGTGTGTGAGTGTGTACAACCCATGATTCCCATCCCAATGCTCCTGTGGGCAGTGGTCAAGCAGGACTCGGTTCTGGGGGGGCTGGTGAAAGCCAGGAGTGCACAAGGGGGGCTGTGTGGGTGCAATAAGGAGCTGGAGAGCTCGGGAGTGTAGCTGTAGATGTGCGTGTGTAGCCCAGATCCTGCTACTGGACAGTTTACATTGCAAAACTTGCAGGATCTTCCCAAGGGAAAAAGAGGAAGTTTATAATAATTGGATTAAAAAAAAAAAAAAGAGAGAGAGAGAGAGAGAATCCCAGACCCCTGTAATGTTAATTACTCTGGTTTTTGTTTTGTTTTTGTTTTTTACATTTTCTTTCCAAATGGGAAGAATGCAGTTTCCCTTCAATTTCCCAAGTAAAAACAGCTGGACAGATTAATTCAATCAAATTTGAAAAGGAAAATCTCTCTGGACTGAGACCAAAATTGGAATATTTTTGCCCCCCAAAAAGAAGTACTTTAGGAAAATTTGCAGTAATGCTAATAAATTCTAAGAGGGGGAGGCCAAGAAACCTGGGTACCAGCTGAGCCAAGCTGAGTGGTCAGGCTCAGACAGTGGCACCCAAGAGCTGTGTCAAACCCTGTTCCTGTGGCTGTGCTGCCTGCTCACTGCTCGTGGCTTAGCAGGGGCTGCCTGGCCAGCAGCAGGGCTGGGTCCTGGCCAGGGCTCCTGCCTGCCCAGCCTTGCTGTCCCGGGAGGCCTCTGACTCTCCTTCTCCAGGCTCTGCTGCTCCCTCCAGGGAGCTGCCTGCAACTGTCCTGCTCTGCCCTCACTCCATTTCCAGTGACAGATGTCAGCCGGGCAGCCATGAGGACACATCAAACCCCAGTTTGTCCAGGTGGGCCTGGCTCATCCCTGCCCATCGTGGGGGTCCTGCTGAGCCAGCCCAGCCCCTCCTGGCTCTGCCCCGTTTCTGGGACTCGGGTGTGTGCAGGGGCTGCCTGGAGGAGGGCACACGGGTACTGGGGGGTGTCCAGGCCAGATCTGCTGCAGCATCTCCCAGCACCCAAGAAGGGAATATTTTGGGACCTAAAGCAGAGTGCAGAGAGGGGTGTGATCTCTCGAGGGACAGGAGATGGGCTGCACAAGGACCCCAGACATGCTCTTTGGAGACACTGCCTATGAACATGAGGGGTCTATGTCCTTCCTTTTCCTGTTGGACCCTGTCCAACACTGGTGTCTATGCCCTGCTCTGTGCACACAACCCTAGAATGGTGGGACTGGCTGTGCTGGCCTGGCACACACTAAGCAGTGCTTGTGAGGGCAGTGGGCTCTGGAGCCTGTCAGGGAGCTGCCTGACACCAGGGCACCCCTTAGATCCCCCATCCCAGAAGAAGGGCAGAGCAGAAGCTCTGTCACTCCTGGGTCCTGTTTCTGATGGCCAACATCTCACCTTACCCAAGCATCTTCCACTCCATGGCCTCATTACTCACCCTGTAACAAAGGCAGCAGCCGTCCTCCATCTCTAGGGAGGGGATCTGCCTATGCATACCCCTGCAAGGCAGAGCTGCAGGAAAAGTGATTGCTGAGGTGGCTTCATGCCCTGATCACTGCACATGGG